GGGTTTTCTGAAGAAGGGTCCAGACCCGAAACGTCAGCTTTCCTGCTCCTCTGATGCTGCTTGGCCTGCTGTGTTCATCCAGCTCTACACCTTGTTATCTCAGATTCTCCAGCATCGGCAGTTCCCACTATTTCTGAATTAATAGTCTAACTTCTGCAGGGCCTGTAGGCCTTGTAGTGCCTGGTGAGAAGAATTTGATAAGGGTTCATGCTTGGCAGACACTTGTTCTAAGAAAGTCTGGATTAAAATGCTGGGGTGGAGCCAGAAATTGGATTTTAAAGAGCACTGAATCCAGCATTTGTTGCTGCAGCTATCGTGGTCTCCTCGACCATTGAAGGCTATGTTGATGAAATGACTGACCAGAGATTGACCCTGGGCAAGATTATTTGGATGCTTGTAGTGTATACATCAAGGGAAACTTTCTTGGAGCTACCAGATGAATTGCGGAAAATACCAAGATGGCATTATCAGATCAAAGACAAGAAATCCTTAGATTTAGATTGTGAATAATTAAATTAAAATATAATTTCAGTAACACTGTCTTGGATTACATTTTGGTGTTAATTTCAGAGATAATAGTTGAAACCACATAAGATTGGTAACATTTGGGCATTAGCTATAACAAATCTGATTCTAACTATTAATCAGTAGCTTTGCATTCAGTGTCTCATATTTCGTTTCTTGCATTATTTCTTTTGTGTTAGAGTTAAATGTTGCCTCATTTTGCCAATTGATTCTCATATTTGATATGTTGCTGCTGCCATCTCATGGTTAAATAACTGGAATTGCATGCATTTAATATGAAGGGGTAACATTGGCCGAATTACTGGAAAAGAAGAGAGGAAGGTTTGCATGGTTTAGCCAGTCATCCGAAACACATGGTAATTTTTGTTTTGCGTTAATTTGGGATTTGTTTGTGCTTTGTGTGGCTTGTGCTGATTTTTGTAAATTTTTTAAATCCATTGCATGATCGGCTGTATATACATGTTTTTATTTGCTGTGTTCCATAACAACAAGAACATTCATTACATGTAGAAAAAAGGCTGTTTTGGTTAAATAGCCATATGATGAAAAACAGGTTGTTATTTGACTATACTTTTGCAGAATGTGCAAATCAGTGGACATATTTGTTATCTATTTTCTGCTAGATGGCAGCTGATGGGTTTGCAACTGGTAATGTACACTTTTACATGACTGAAGTGGTTTTGACTGTGTGCATTCAGTGATCTACAAAGCAATCCACGAGGCCACAGTGACACTGTTTGGAATGTAATTATAGCATATCTCATGTAGCAATCTTTTACACTTCACAGTAGGTTAGCATACCTCTCATTGTTAACTTCAGTATGATGCATTTTTCCACTCTAGTGCAAGCCTAGAATAAGGGCATTTTCCCTCACAAGAATTTTTTTCCCCCCTGTCCTGTTTCAGCAGTCTGGGATAAATATCACTAATCTTGGGAATGATTGATTATTTTTGAGTCTAAATAGCTAGTTTCTGACTTTATGCAACACATATATAAAATGGTTAATTTTACTTGGGAGGCCTTTGTTTGGAAAGATTTTTGCTCACGTCTTTTGAATCTTTGGGAAAAATAAGTCATTCAAAGCATTTATTATTTTACCTGTGTATTTGAGACCATAGCCATCGATTTGGATTTTCACCTCTCGAGAGTGAAATTTTTGTGGCTTTTTCAGTGTGATATCACCTGTTAAGCACTTTCCTAGTCATTGTTTCTCTGATCTACTTTTCAATGTGTTTCTACATTTTCTTGTATTGTTTCCAGTGAATCCATTTTCATTTGTTGTGCAGGAATTATTCCTGCTGTTTTAACTTTCTCTGTCACATGCAGCTCAATGAGAGCAGTTTTTTGAGTCCCTTTTTGTGGATTCAAGCCCCACTCCATGACTTGACCACAACAGTCATGGCTCTCTATCCCAATACTGCAATATTGAGGGAGTGCTGCACGTTTGGAAGTGTCTTCTGTCAGATGAACCTCCACTTGTTGTCCAAGTTGGACATGAAATATTCCAAAGCACTTTATCAGGGAAGAGCTGTGTCGTTATTCCCACAATCCTGACAAACATGTCCTTTGTCAACATCACAAAAATGGATTATCTTGTCATGATCACATTGGTGTTTGTGGGAATTAGGTGTGGAATTGGCTGTCAATTCCCACATTACATTTTGTTTTACTTGTTGTTAAATATTTATTCTCAGCTTTATACCCTTAAACATAATCAAAGGTACAAAGGTGCTGCTGAACAATTTTTTTCCATTCTTTTTGTTTTATTTGTTTCTTTTATTTGGTTGAATTTTTCTCTGTTGAAACTAAAATCTTGCATGTTATCTTTGGTATTTTTGACTCCCATATCATTTTCTTCAATGATTGTTCCCTTGGACAACTACAAGTTCAATTTCCTAGTTCACTTACAAGCATCACGTGAAGATAATCATTCAGTCTTGTAGCCTCCTCGACTGCATTTAGAGGCAGTCATGCGTTCTCACCAATTCTGATTCTGACAGCTTATGTTTCCCAATTCATTTTTAAGTGTTTTAATGCGATGGAGGCATTAGTGAGCAATGTGTATTGCTTATTTTCACTCTTCTTTTGAAGGTGTGGATGAGCCACCATCTTGAGCTGCTACTTCCACAGTAATGTGAAGTACAGAATTCTATAATTTTGACTCTGACAATAAAGAAACTGCAATACATTTGCAAGTGACTTGGAGGGAGCAATTTGGGAGTAATGGTGTTTCCGTCCATCTTCTCTTGTCCTTTTAAGTCATCTAGGTCTGGAAGTACAGGATCATCAGATTTATCTATGGTTAATGTTAAGTGAACATGAACATGATTAAACATTGTTAAACCTGCACTGCCATTTAATGTTAAATATGGCTGATTGAACACTTCAATGCTTTTCACCCATACTTTCCAAATGACCCTTTGTTATTGGCAATCAGAAATCTGTTAATCTCTAAATACATACTTGTAAAAACTGACTGACTGCTCTCTTGGGGAGAGAATTCCAACGATTCACAGCCCTCTGAGTAAAGGTATTCCTCCTCATCTTGGTCCTAAATAATATCCTGCTTATTTTTAAACTGTTTCCCCTGGTTCCAAGCTCCCCAATTAGGGGAGACCGCTTTATCTGCATTTATTTTGTCTGTCCCCTTGAGTATTTTGCAGGTAAGTAATTTAGAATTTGAAAATGTGTTCATTCTGTAGTTAATTGATGTGATATTTTACAGAACAATTCCATTTGTAAAGTTAATTTAAATGACAATTTTTGGATTCAATTCTTTTTGTATGTATAAGTAATACTTTTGAAACAATAAAAATCTGAAGTATAAGGAATTTTTAAAAAAATCACCAATAGTTTTCGATCAATCCAGTGATAGACCAAGGCAATTCTGGTATATTTATTGCAACTAAGAGTTCTGCTATAAAAGTCACATGCACTTTTATGCATTATTTTGAATTATTTGTTTGTGAGAAGTTTACATGTTCCATTGACAGTCTTAGCATGTTTATCAAGTTGACAATCGTAGTCAACACTGGTTTTGATGCTTGTCTTTAATATTAGTTTTAAAATGTCATAGAAACTGAAGTAAGTTATGGATTTATTTCTATCTTTGACCTCTGAAAACAGCAAATATCCCTATTGGTGAAACTGAATCTGATAACACAGACCATGCTGGCAGTGGAGAGGGTGATAATGCAACATGCTGTGGATCATTATGGTGAGTAAAGCCAAATTTTATAGACTGGTTTGAACATGTATAGGGCAAATAATGACAAGCGCAGAACATGCACAACCTATAGACACAACTCCCAGATATAACTGTGTATCGTAAACTACAACCATAAACACAGTAATATGTACATGCATAGGACAGCTTACATGCATGGGGGACCAGTAACCATCAGAGAGAAATCTAAACAAAAGAAATGCTGACATCAACACAAAAATACATAGATGTTGATATTAAAGACACTGCAAATAGACATACAGCATATCACTTACACAGATTATTGTATAGCTGTTGTTAACACTGCATTCATTTAGACACGCATATGCATTTTGCATCTAATAAATTGACTTGTTTGACTGTATAACTAAAAGCTGAAATCTCTTTTGCTTCAGTCTGTTTCACCATATCTTTATGGACAGCTGTGAAGTGCGGGACTCAGGTTTTGTTTGACTAGCTATATGCAAATAACTGAGTCTTTCTATTGAGCGGCTGCATTTATATTGAGCATGCCGTGCATCCTGTAAATCCAAGACAATTCTTTTGGATCTGCACCACCAATGGTCTCATGGCTCTGCGCAAGAGAAAAGTGCAGAAATTATGTGGCATTTTGGAAGTGTTGTCAATACTGTCCCCTCGAGACAAAACGTTTGCTGTCAGAGATTCCATGGCAGAATTGAGTTGAAAGCACATACAGTTCATGCCTCACTGATGTTTATGGGCAGGATAAAATTTCTAGGCTAAAGATTGCTTTTCTAGTTCTTTCAGCTGATTCTTGCTGGCAAGTTAAAACGTTAGTCCTTTGTAGTTGGTCCTGTTGGATGCATATTGTAATAAAGGTCATATAATATTATTGTAATTTGTGGTTTGGATTTCCTAGTGGAAATGAAATGGATTTTGGTTTTAGTTATATGAAGATAGCATCTTTTAAGAAGTCCAAAAGTCATTTGAAGCAGCAAATGAAGTACGTAATTTCCAAGAAAGCATGTGATTTAAGTTAGCTGCCTTAACTATATACCTCGGCTGATATTTGCTGAACGTTTGCAAAGATGGTCAGAATCAGGTTTCAGTTCAGAAAAATGAAACAGAACTGCGGATGCTAGAGATCTGAAATAAAAACAAATTGCTGAAGAAACTCAGCAGGTCTGATAGAATTGAAGAGTCGCCAGACTTGAAACATTATTTTTTTTTCCCCGTAGATGCTGCCAGACCTGCTGAGTTTCTCAGCAATTTCTGTTTTTTGTTTCAGTTCTGAAGAAGTTTAACTTCAGAAGGGCAGGTTCATTTGTTGAAATCTTCAGATTGAGAGTTTATAACTGGTCAAAATGTTTAGGTTATGAGAAGCTTTTTGGAAGCGTCCAAGTTGTGGGAACTGAAGTCAAACTGTTAATACTTAAAGGAAATCTATGCCATGAGAACTGCAAAGAAAAATCTTGATTATCATAATTGGAAATAGTCAGTTGAAAAAGCAATCTTAACTTTAAGATGGGAGTGATACATCACTGGGATTGAGTGTCTGTGAAGGATGTTCCTGCCAAAATGGTTGAATCGTTGTTTTTATTGTTTATGTTAGGATCTTTTCAAATTGTTGTAGCTGTAATATCTTTCTTTCTTTCTTGTAATGTGAACATATGAAACAGGAGCTGAAGTAGACCAACTTCGAGCCTGCTGCACCATTTGATTAAAATCACAGCTGATCTATTTGTGTTTTTGAATTCCACATTCCTGTCTACCCACAATAATAATTGATTTTTCTTGCCTAACAAGAATCTATCCATCTCTGTCATTAAAATATTTAATGATGCAATTTGACAGCATTCAAGTTTCTCAATGCTCTGAGGGCAAAACTTTTTCATTTCTGTTCTGAAAGAGCAATCCAAATCTTTAAAACTTTTCTCCAAGTTCTGGACTGACCCACAAGAGGAAACATGCTTTCCACGTCAATCTTACCACAACCATTCAGCATGTTTTACATGTCAATCAAGCCACCCTCACTCTTTTCTACGTGGACTAGTGATGGTTATCAATGAAAAACATATTTCATTTTCCAACCACTGCGTGATTGTTTCTCGGGTGGTTAAGCAATGTGGAACTGGAAATAAGTTTTCGAGACAAAGAGAAAAAGAAACATGCAGATCTTCTCCCAGCTGCGGTGCCCTGCAGTCAGAGAAACTTTGTTTTCAAGCTAAGGAAAAGCAATTATTTTTCCTGTGGCAACTGCTGTAAGCTGTGACATGAATTGATAAATCTGAAATATTTTCTGAGTGAATCAGCTACTCAGTACTTCTTATAAACCAGTGGAAGCACCAGAGAAAGGCATCTGAACAAGAAGTGTGGCCAGCTAAAGAAGGATCGTCTCAACATTGGAAACATGAAGCGAAAACCACTGAACTGACTTTCCCGTTTCTCTGCCTCTGAAAATAATCTGTTTTCCCTGTTTGTTTGTCTTCGAGAATATGTGTGTGTGTGTGTGTGTGTGTGTGTGTGTGTTTGTACAGAGGAATTCGAATTTTACTTAAATGTTATATGCCAATGTTTAGCTGTAGCTATAGTCTAATTAATAAATAATAATTCTTGGTTAGTTCAGAAACTTGGTCCATGCTTTCTGTCAACCTTGATCTGAAAGGTAAATTGGGATACTGTGTGTACTTGGAAAAATTTTAAAATTCTGTAAGACCCCAGGAAAAGCAGGGTTCAATTTATGGTGCACTACCCAGTGGGTCATACCATCAGGGTGTAGTCTCATGAATACTCTGTCTAACTGAAGCATAACACCCTCCGTTTTTAAGTTCTGTCAACAAAAGATGAAAGTTATAGATCATTGACAGCCTCTTGTGAATATGGTCAGTGACTAAAAACCATGGCAGTTAAACTGCAAAACTAAGGCTTATGGTCTGGCAAGCCAGATTTCACTTTGAGTGACGACTTTACCATTACCATGAGCTGCGATCATAAACAAGCTTGAAAGTTTTTTTTTGCAAATGTTCCTTCTGATGACTCAAGATAAGGAATAATTGTGTATTACCAAAACTATTTTTTTGACTACTCTTTATGAATGCATGGGTCCATTTAATTTTAGACAACTTACTACCTTGGTTAAAAGAAGAGAAAGTTGGATGTGTACATACATAATCAATAATTCTGTGATAACAGCTGCAGCAGAACTTATACCTGCACTTATTAAAGGCAGTACACTCGAATGCAGAATCACATAGGTCAGGAGGGTTCCAGGCTTTGATTTGTGGGCGGGTAAGTGGAGTTGAATCTCAAAAAGATCAGCCATGATCTTATTAAATGGCGGGGCAGGCTCGAGGGGCCAGATGGTCTACTCCTGCTCCTAGTTCTTATGTACTTATGGTCTTGGCCATATTGGACACTTCAGCACTCCTTTCATGCCTGTAAAACGAGTGTTATTACCAAGTTTCTAGATCATAGTTCTGTTAAAGGAATCTCACTGTTGGATGTGATGGGCATCAGATTAATATAAATTGCTGTTTTTTGCTTAGCAACACATGGGAGAAGGAGAAAATCGTTTTTAAAATAATTAAATGAACGCTATTAATAGGAGCTAGTTCAAGGAGCAACTGGGCAATATGTGAACTGAGATGCTTGTGCTCATTCTGTGTTTGTCTGAATTCAAGCCAGTTTTGATGCAAACATTTTCTTGCTGGAAACCTAGCACAACTTTACAATATTGGTGTCTTATTTTCTCACTTTGAATGGCTTATAGGAAGCTGAATGAATAAAAGCGTTCTTGAGTGACATAGGATTTCTGTATTTTTGCAAAATTTACATCATCTTTTTGGTTCTTAAGTAAAGTTTTTTTAATATATTCTTTAAAAATTTAAATATATATATTTTGTGAAATGTTTTTGGCAGCCTTTGTTTTTACTCCCATTGTAAATTGAAGTTACCGCTTAAGTATTTTGTGTTACAAAATAGAAAAGGCATGTCAAGTGAAACTGCATGTGAAGTGTAGTATGGCCATTTGTCAATTACCAGTCACAATTGTCTCCACTTCTACCGGTTAGTTGGCCAAATTAATACATCGCATCTGCAGCAAATAAACCAATAATCAACTTATGATACAAGACAGCATAACATGTGGCAAGATCATCATCGCTTTGAATAGATATATCTCTGACTTGATCCCTGCTAGTGCTACAAACTAGTTAATGTGCTGCCCACACGAGTCACACAGGCAGCTGATGTAATCAGTATAACATTCATGTTTATCTGCTTTCCACTAACCCTTATATGTTTAGCCAATGTCACTGGATGCCTACATTTTTTTAGGTACAGGAGTCCCTGATCATTGAGCAAATGACAATTTGCTATCCATCTTCAACGTTAGCAAATGACCAAGTTTGTCTTCGCATATATTTGTGCATGATTAAGATGAAGAAAAATGTGAGGTCAATCCTGACTGTGCTCCGCTGATGTATGGGTATGCATGAAACATAGATAGTACAGTAACAGTACAGATGGTGGCCTTTCAACCCATTATGTCCATTCTAGTTTGCAAGAACAGCTGAGTCACACTCTCCTGTCTTTATCCTATTGATAAAAAATTCACTGGCACTTCAGATAATTGTCTAATTGCAAAAGACTACCACCAAATTTCAATGCATTTGAGGCATAAACTCAGCTACGTAAAAATATTTTTTGACATCACCTTTGTTTTTCTTGCTTTTCAGTCGTAATCCGTGTCTTCTGCTTGCCATTCCTTCCACCAGTGGAAACAGTTTCTCCCTAACTACTCTGTCTAGACCTTTCAGCATTTCCACCATCTATCAGATCAGTTCCCAACCTTCACGCTGTAGGGGGAACAGCCTGGCTTCTGCAATCTGAGATTCATTCTTCAAACTTTAAAGTTTGAGGCTTGGTTGGGCAAGCTTGCAAAGAGCTCTAATAATATAAACCAATTAGTCTCATGACAAGTGACACAACTGAATTGTCATTATGCTCTCAGGATTCAGAAACTTGGATTGTGTTTTTATCTGTTCTTAGTCAGAATAACTGAAATTGATGATCAGCTGAATGTATTGAGGCAATTATGATCATTTAAAATAGAAGAAAAATATGCTTTTTTTCAGGAAGACACAATATCTATAATCTGTTCCATTCTTGAATTTTTTCCAGTGCTGAGATGGTGATCCAAGTGCCATTACTTTCACTATCACTTCAATTTATCATTCATTCAGGGCCTACAAACAGCATTTTGAAAAGCAGTGCAAAACAACAGAAGAATGTACTTTTGGCATATTGTCTCATTTCAAAGCTTATGAAGTTCTCAGATTAATTCAGAAACGTATTCATTCATTTTCCTTTTTTTTTTGCATTACAGCATCCGAATTTCTAAATCAAAGTTCAGGTCGGTAAGCTTTTCCTCTGCCATTTGAGCATTCCTTTGCATTTGTGAAAATTTTGGAAACTGTGAACTAACTTGTTACATGTCAGATATAATTATTGAATACCTATTTTTGTACTATTGCATTAGTATATTTATATTGCATATAACATATGTATCATGCTGTGCTTATTCATTATTTATATTCTAATTTTCTTATTAGTGATATAATTTAAGCAATATGTGACTGTTATGTAAATCATGTTTGCTACCATTTTGTTACTTTTTCTCCACCTGAATAAATCATAAGATACTATGTTGAATTTATTGGCATGCCAGTGCCCCCTCAACTGGCTGGAAAGTCAGTGGGTGCCCTGTCAGGACATTTTCCAGGAGCTCCAATGGAATTAATCATCAATGAGGCAGCTAACTCCCTGACATCAGGATTCCCATTCCTCAAGTGTTACTAGTCAATCAGATGGTTAGAAGCTCTTCAGTCTTAACAGTGGGCATGGTGACCTGCATAAAGTCCAGAGCAACAGCATCCATAAGGGAGTGTGGGCTTCCTGAAGTTTGCCTGATTGGACCTGGCAAGGCAGATGCAGTGCTAGTAAGAATCAGCAGGATGCTCTTGCCGCAGGTGCAACTTTCCAATAGGACACAGGGCACCTAATCAAGAAGACAGTGCTTCCCTTCCCAGAACATACCTGGACCTCTCCATATGGCACGCACCATCTTAAGGGCCTCAATTGGCCTCCATGTTGGATGACCCTCTTCTAGTTTGCCCAAATTACTAGCTAGGCTAGCATTTATTGTCCATTCTTGAGAAAACAGCAGTGAACTACTTTATTTAACTACTGCAGTCCCTGTGCTGTAGGTAGACCTACAGTGCCATTAGAGAGGGAGTTCCAAAATTTTGATCTAGCCACACTGAAGGAATGACGAAATGTTCAAGTCAGGATGGTGAGTAGCTTGGAGGGAAACTTAGAAGTGGTAGTATTCCTCTGTATTTGCCATCCTTGTCCATCCAGATGGTGGTGCTTCTAAGTTTGGAGGAACCTTGTTTAAGGAATCTTGGTGAATTTCTGTAGTGCATCTTGTAGATTGCATACACTGCTACTGATGAGAATTGGTGGTGGAGGGAGTGGATGTTATTGGTGAGCCAACCGAGCTGATAGCTTTGTCCTTGATGGCATCAAAGTTTCTTGAGTGTTGTTGGATCTCATTCAGGCAAGTGGGGAATATTCCATCACACTCCTGACTTGTGCCTTCTAACTGGTGGGCAGACTTTGGAGAGTCAGGAGATGAGTTATTCAATGCAGGATTCGTAGCCTCTGACCTGTTGTTGTAGCCATTAAATTTATATGGCTAGTCCAGTTCAGTTTCTGGTCAGTGGTAACCCCAGGATATTGATTGTGGGGAATTTGGTGATGGTAGCACCATTGAATGTCACAGGGTGATGGTTACATTCCCTCTTGTTGGAGATGGTCATTGCTTGGTATTTTTTGTGCCATTTTCCAGCCTAAGCCTGGATATTGTTTAGACCTTGATGCATTTGGACATGGATTGCTTCAGAATCTGAGGGATCACTTGGTGAAGCTGAACATTTGCAATCATCAGCAAATATCCACGTTTCTAAACTTATGATGGAGGGGAGGTCATTGATGAAGCAGCTAAAGATGGTTGGGCTGAGGATACTACTCTGAAGAACTTCCTTAAAGATGTCCTGGAGCTGAGATGACTGACCTTTAACGACCACAACCATCTTCCTGTGTGCTAGGTATGACTGCAAACAGCCCCCACTTCCCATGGATTCCAATTTTTCTTGAGATCGTTGCCGCATTTGATCAAATGTGGCATTGTGTCAACGGCCATCACTCACCTCCTCTCCGAAATTCATCTATTTTGTCCATGTTTGAACCAAAGCTGTAATATGGTCAGGAATTGAGTGGCCTTGGGGAACCCAAACTCAGCACCAGTGAGTATGTTATCGTACTTGTTAGCACCGTTGATGACATTTTCCATCACTTTATCGATGATTGAAAATCGACTGATGGGGCAATGATTGGCCGGGTTAGATTTGTCCTGCTTTTTGTTCACAGGAGATACCCGAGTAGATGGTAATATTGTGAATGAACTTGAATAGCTTGGCTCGAGGCATAGCAAGTTCTGGAACACGCTTTCAGTACTATTGCCGGAATGTTGTAAGCACTCATAGCCTTTGCAGGATCCAGTGCCTCTATCCGTTTCCTGATGTCACATGAAGTGAATCAAACTGGCTGAAGACAGGAATCTGTGATGCTGGGACCTCTGGAGGAGGCCAAGGTCGATCATGCGGTTGGCACTTCTGGCTGAAGATTGTTTCAAATGCTTCAACATTTGCATGATTTGCAGGGGTCCCCCATCATTGAGGGTCGAGATATTGTGGAGCTTCCTCTTCTAGTCAGTTGTTTAGTTGTCCACTGTCATTTGTCGCTGAACGTGACAGGACTACAAAGCTTAGATCTGATCCATTGGTTGTGGAATTGCTCAGCTCTGTTTATCATTTGCTGCTTATGCTATTTGGTATGCAAGTAGTCCATTTTAGCTTCACTAGGTTGACGCCTCATTTGCCGGTATGCCTGGTGCTGCTCCTGGCATATTCTCCTACGCTCTTTATAGAACCAAGGTTGATCCCTTTTCTTGATGGTAATGGTGAAATGGGTACATCCTGGACTATGAAATTGCAAATTATGTTGGAGTGCAATTCTGCTCATGCTGATCATCCTGACACCTCACAGATGCCCAATTTTGACAAATTAGAATCATTAAATGTGGAGCTGGAAAAGGGCAGCCAGTAAGACAGCATCCGAGGAGCAAAAAAAGTCAATGTTTTTTGGGCTGAAACTCTTTGTCAGGACTGGGGAGGGGAGGGCAGCTCAGAACTAAATAGAGGGAGCAATGTGGGGGTGGGGTGAGGGTAGGTGAGATGGAGATAGGTGGATGCAGGTAGTGGGTTATTGTGGTTGGTCAGTGGGAAGGGTGGAGCGGATAGGTGACTCAGAAGACTCATAGGTTGGGAGAGGAGAGATTTTAAAGCTGGTGAAGTCAATCTTCAAACCATTGTGCTGTAAGCACCCAAGGTGAAATATGAGGTATTGTTCCTTCAGTTTACATTTGGCCTCGCTCTGACAGTGGAGGACGCCAAGGGTGGACATATCACTGGGGAGTGGGAGAGGGAGTTAAAATGGATGGCAACTGGAAGGTTGGGTTGGTTGGTACATGAAGAGCACAGATCCTCTGCAAACTGGTCCCCAAGTCTGCGTTTGGTCTTCCTGATATAGAGAAGACCACACCAGGAGCAACAGATACAGTAGACGAGGTTAGATGAAGTGCAGGTGAATCTCTGCCAGATTTGGAAGGATTGTTTGGGGCTTTGGACAGAGGTGAGAGGGGAGGTGTAGGGGCAGGTTGTAGGAAAAGGTGCTGGGTGCGGTGGAGAGGTTGGAGATCTGTTCAAAGTCTGTCCTCCTTAGCTCAGTGATAGTGCCACATAACATGATCTAAGATGTTATCAATGTAAAGGTGGGACTTCTTCTCAACAAGGACTTTGCAGTAGTCAGTCTTACCGATACATTCATGAACAAATGCAACTACTCCAGGTAGGTTGGTGAGGATGAGGGCAAGTATGATTTTTCTCACTTGCTGGTTTCCTCACTAGCTGTTGCAGAATCAGTCTTTCTTCTATATGTTGCATTACAGTATATCTTTGTGATTGCATGGTATGACTTGCAATTAAATAATTTGCATTATCTGATGAGTTAGGTTTATTTCAGCATGTGTGGCATTTTGATTTGCGTTTATTGCTATGCCTGTTTCATTTAAATCCATGTAAGTGGGATATTCATCAGTGGGACATTTTCTATACACCTCCTTGGATAAGAATTTAGATCACAGGATTTAATACAGTACTCGTGTTTTCCAACTTCTCTTATTGCCATTTAGCATAAGAGGTAATGAAAAATAATAAACCATCAAACTCAAAGTTTAGTAGTTAAAATTCATGCTTCTTTTTGCGTGGCAGGTAGCTTCCAGGTTCACAGTTAGCTTTATTATTTGGTCTTCATAATCAAGTACAATTTAAGTGTATTACAAAACAGCTTGGAATTTATGGGTACATTTATGGGTAATTTACACTCTTTTATAGGTAAAGCCCAGAGCCTAGGAAAATAATTGAATTGAAATGATAAAAATGCAAATGCTGTGGCATGTGCAATTTAAGAGTGAGACATCATCAGTCCTTTTGATTAAGCATCACTAGAAGATTAATTAATCAATAGAAATTGATGAAACAAAACTATCCATCAATATTGCTTAATGAATTGCTTTCAAAATTTTGTTTTATTGTGCTTGGATACATAGTGTAAAATTTCTTTGTAGTCTTACCAGTTTCTTTTATATTTCCAGCCGGCACTGGCGTCGTTGGAACCGCTATTGGAGAAGAAAATGTCGAGCTGGTGTAAAGTCTGTTACTTTCTACTGGCTAGTTATTATCCTTGTTTTTCTCAATACATTAACCATTTCATCAGAGCATTATAATCAGCCTCTTTGGCTAACGTTTACTCAAGGTAAGAGTTCAGCTTTGTCTTCACATAAGTATTAGTGAGCAGTAAACATTCCATTAAAATGTTAGAATTATGCATTATGATAAATTGGTTCAATAATTTCCAGTGATTAATTCTAATCAGTACGCAGCTGCAAGTAGCTTTGTATTTATGCAAATTGGCACAAATTAGGGTTGTACATTTTAATCCTAACTATATATTCTGCATATTAGGTTGGATACAGAGGGGCCAACGGGGTCTCTACTACTGTTCAGAGAATTGGGAGCAGGGAACCCTGGTCAATTCTTTGGGAGAGACCCCACCAATATTATATGCTCTCAGGCACTTAACTGACCAGCAGCTGGCGCTTCATGGGGTTCAAGATAGTGGTGGTGGAGGCCCTGCTTACCAAGAGCTGCTGGCTAATCAGGCTGCCACTTCCTCATTTCCATCAGCATCACTTTCGGTATCGTGACAGCTTTCAGCAATATACCCACTAGAGGCCCATGACTAGTGAGAGGCCCAACCCTCAGGTAAATGAAGTCAGGATTAGGGTTTCACAGGGTGAATGTTATGAGAGTGGGGAAGTGAGTGGGAGATAGTGTTGTCATTCAGTTCCTTTCTCCCCTTTCCAAAACTGACTTCCTCAACCAGTCACGAAATACTGGCTTCCACCCTTACTTGGTAACCTGCTAGGAAATTTGACAGGGGTTCCTATTTTTTTAAAATTGTTGATAAGATGTGCTTGTTGCTGACTCAGCTAGCAATCATTACCCATCACTAATTGCCCTGGAGAAGGTAGTGGTGAGCTGCCTTCTTGAACTACAGTCTTTGGCATGTAGAGACACCCACAATGCTTTAGGAGGGGAATTCCAGGATTTTGACCCAACGACAGTGAAAGGGTGGTAACATAGTTCTACCTCAGGATGGCTTGGAATGGCAGTTGCAAAAGGTGGGGTTTTCGTTTACATCTGCTGCTCTTGTCCTTTTAAGTCATAGAGGTGGTAGGTTTGGACAGAGCTGTTGGAGCAGCCTTTGCAGAATTAATACAGTACATCTTGTAGATGGTACACTGCTTTACACCATTGTTTTAGTAGTGAAGAGAGTGAGTGTTGCTAGGTAGCCTTGATCTAATTGACACCCCCATGGCCATTGGTGGGAAAGACTGTCAGGCTAACATAAGAACATGTGAATTAGGGGTAAGTGAAAGCCATTCAGAGCCTTGATCCTTCCCTTCAAAAAGATAATGTCTGATCAGATTGTAATCTCAAATTCACATTGCCACCTGTCCTCATAACCTTTCACTTGCTTGTTTAATGAGAATCTATGCACCTCTGCCTTGTTAGTGGCAAAGGACTCTGCTTCCATTTCCTTTTTAGGAAGACAGTTCGAAAGACGCTCAATCATCTGAAAAAGATTTTGCCTTATCTCTTTTTTAAATGCGTCATCCCTGATTTTTAAACGGTGACCCCTAGTTCTAGATTCTCCCATAAGAGGAACTATCCTCTTCACATTTGCCCTATCATGACTGCTCAGAATCTTCAAGTTTCAATCAAGTCTCTTATGACTTTACTAACCTCCAGTGGGTACAAGCCTTGCCTATTCAACGTCATAAGAGAACACTTTCTATCATATCCACATGCCCACCTGCTCAAGAAATCTTCACAGAGCTACCTCTAGTACATTTATATACATTTTTAAATAAGGTGTCCAGTACAGCACACTGTACTTCAGATGCAACCTCATCACAATTCTGTATAACTGAAGTATAACATTCCCACCCTCTTGTATTCAATTTCCCTTGTGATAAATGATAACATTCTTTTTGGTTTCCTAATTACTTGCTGTACCTGCATAGTAACCTTGTGTGAGTCATGCAAAGGACACCCAGATTCTCTGCACCTCAGAAGTCTGTAATCTCTCACCATTTAGTAATAAGCTTTTTTATTCATCCTGCTAAGATAAACAATTTCACATTTTCCCACCTTATACTCCATTTGTCACATCTTTACCCGCTCAATTAACCCATCAATATATTTTTGTGGCCTCCTTATGTCCTTTTCACAACTTACTTTCCTACCTATCTTTGTGTCATCAGCATATTTGGTAACCATCCCTTTTGTAAGTCATTTATATAAATTGTAAACAATTGAACTCCCAATGATGATCTGTGTGGCACACCACTTAGTACATCTCACCAATTTGAAAAAAAATTATGCCCACTGACTGCCTCCTGTTAGCCTGCCAGTCTTCTATCCATGCTAATATGTTCTTCCCTTACATCATGATCCTTATTTTCCACAATAACTGTTGATGGAGGTACCTCGTCAAACACCTTCTGGAAGTCCAAGTACAATGCATTCACTGTTCCCCTTTAATACTAGTACATGTTACTTCTTTGAAGAACTCTAAAGATGGAACCTTATATGGGCCTGAATGACGTGATCTGTAGTGGGAAATGTAGCAGAATCATATGAGAAGTCAAGTAATCCCTATCTTGACATCTAGGAACAATCCGCATATTTTAATTAGGTTCTGGCCATTGAGATTTTCGCTAGGCAGCAACGAGGTGCCTGTTAATGGGAATTATTGCTTGTTAATGATCTTGTCAACTGTACGACTTGCTTCATTAACATGCAGCTTCCAGTCTTATCACCTGCAAACTATTTGCTGAGAATATTCAACATGGAAGTCAGAGCAGGTATCTGGTAACTGACCTCGTCAGTGACTGCAAAGAGTTTCCATGTTGATCATCACACAACAGGATCTCAGGATATGCTGTATGGACATCGTCCACACTCCCCTCATTCCATGGACATTGACGTTGCACGTGTGCCATCCTCCGAGAACCCTAATGCCTATCTTTAATCCACTGACAGTATGTTTCCGTACTTCACTGCTGCACCATAGGTTGCATTGGCAACAATACTTATAATGCTGCAGCAAGGAAATTTGTGCTCAGCGACATGAACACAGCTTATGAGTTGAACCATGCTGTACTTCTGGACCACGTGCCTTTCTGTCTTAGCACTCAATCACTTTGTATCAACCTGCTTACCGTATCCCTGTCTTGTATTGCCTATTTGTGATTTTTTTTTTCTCAGAGATACACAGTACTGCATTGCTATGCCTTTTAGTGCAGACAAAGATCCAGCAAGCTTGTCATGGGTTGTCAGGAGAGACCAGTCAAGTCATGGGAGATAGCTTTCAGTTTGGTGTTCCTGACACACTAAGTGAAGGATAGCCTTTGAGACCAGTCCAGGCACTGGGAAGCAGCCATTCAGCAGCTCAGTATAGTCAGAATCAGGATGCTGTCCTCCTACATGGTGGAGAGCCAGATATGGAGCAGCACACCACCCATCTTGACTCTTTTTGCCCTATTATGCACTGATTTGCTCATGAAATGAGAGCACAGCAGGTATTAACCCAGATGAAAGTGGCAGGCACAGCTGTTAATTTGGTGCAGATGGGGAGGTGTCCCAAGCGAGTGCATAGGCAGCGCAGCGGAGTTGCAGGGTTATTGGTGTTAGGAGGTGATGTTGATTGGAGTAAATGAGGGAAATTATTGAGTGAAACAGCTTCAAGGGCAGCTAGGGATGGGCAGTAAATGCTGGCCAGCCAGCAATGCCCACATCCCATGAGCGAGTTTAAAAAAACATAATGGTAGAAATTGAACCTTGGTGTGAAGTGGGTGCAGGAACACAGAGTATGAGGTATCCAAGAGAAGATGATAACATTTAGCTGGTGGAGTGGAGAAGATCATTTACCTTCTACATACGTTACTATGCATTCTTCTAGATGGTTGATACTGTATTAACCTCAGTGGAAACATCAGACCTGGCATGGTCAGGTGTTGTGGCCTTCTCAACTAGTCCGGCTGGAAGGGGACATACTGCTTCTGCACCATGTTGTCCACCAGTACCTCCAGGTCCCTGCCTACAAAATACAGCACCAATTTTCCCTACTCTGCTGTGTCAGGCAAAATGTCAGGAGCCATGCAGATCAGTTCTGTACTAACAGTGCTTGTAAAGGTTCAGAATGGCCTTTGAAAGATAGTGTGTGCACCAGGGATGCTGGCCCATTCTGGGATATCTGGAAATGGTGAGTGTTCAGAGTACGGCGATTGGTAGAATCGGGCTAGAATTGCACAAGAAGAATGCCATAGGTGCAGAATAGAATATTGAGGCAAGTTTGTAAAATGTGATGAGGGAGTTTGCTAGAGGAGTCCGTATTGAAACATATAAGATTATTTGAGAGCTTAACAGGATAGATACAAAAAGGTTGCTTTTCCTTCTAGGATGAGCTCGGACAAGAGTGCATAACTTCAGTTGGGTGTCACCCATCTGAGACAGAAATGAGAAGAATTCTTTCTCTCGGAGGCTACTCAATCGATGGCATTCTCTACTGGAGAAAGCTGTCAAGGCTGGGTCGTTCAGTATGTTCAAGGCTGAGGTATATAGATTTTTAATCAGTAAGTGAATCAAGGGTTAAGGGGAAAAGGCAGGAAAGTGGATCTAAAGAGTTTTAGATCAGCCATGATCTCGTGAAATGGCAGAGCAGATTTGACCTCTGAGAATGAGAGTACTGAGGCCTCAGAGGAAGCATTGACAAGTCTGCCTCCTGCACCAGCTCAGATACTGACAGCTCATTGCATGCCTCATAGTGACAGCCGTGTAGCTGGGCAAGAAAGAAGTACTCCTGGCATACAGAGGAATGCAGGAGAGGACCCAGTGATTCGACAGTAAGGGAGTTCATCCACCTGCACAGAGAGGATCGGGAGCAGCAGACTGTGGGGTAGGATGCACTGGCCCTCATCGCCCAGAATCTCAGCAGTAGTCTTGTGATCATTTGGCTGCCTCTATGGACAGGTTAGAGGATGCCATGAAGAGCAAGGTCCAGCACCCTCAGGTTCTGCTGGAGGAGCACACATGTCAGCACTCCATTGCTGCAGCCATTGGTCCTCAGGAGTAAAGGATTGGCAGAGGGGTACAGGGAATCTTGGAGAGCACTCCAGGTGCCCCTTTCTCATAAGGAGACACGACGGTGCCTGGAGACACTCGGCCAGAGGATGAATTTCACACAGCTTCCTCAGAGGTCTCCAGCCAGGACACTGTGGAGGTAGCCAGGCCCTCCACTCTTCACCTCCTAACCTATGCCAAGCATTAGAAGTTGAAGCTGAGGATCCTGTCTACCCACAAATACCCAGAATCACTGTGGGCACCCCTGTGATGCAGCCTGGTCCAATCAAGAGTTGGGTGTCAGTCTGTGCCGGCAGATGTCCCTGTTGCAATCTTTCAATGCAAGTTGCCAGCGTGCCCTGTAATGCAAGCCTGTGCATCCTTACTATCCTACAAATTGATCATAGAGGTGCCGTGATGGTCATGAGGCGTTTTCAAATGTTCATGCCAACATCTGTGGCCCAGGGATGTGTTTGGCTGATGCATGTGTATTGTGCCCTGAAATGCTGTTTGGTCCTAAGCAACATGGAGGTCCTTCAGTGCAAGTGATGAGCTGAAGTTTCTGGTTACCTGCTCTGATTTTCATGATGTGGAGGTGCAGGTGTTGGACTGGGATGGACAAGGTCGGAAGTCACATGACACCAGGTTCATAGTCCAACAGATTTATTTGAAATTACAAGCTTTTGGAGTGCTGTTCTTTTGTCAGGTGGAGTGAAGAGAAGCACACAGGCACACAATTTATAGACAGGGAGATCAAAAGATCAAACGAATTGTGTGAATAGAGTTTTGACAGGCTGGATAGTAAGTCTCTGCAGATGATTAAAAGTGTCAGATGATGTGAGTAAAGTGTCAACAGTTGTGTAGCAACTGAAGGGATTACCTATAACCCAATTAATTGAGGCAGAGAGGTAATTACAAAAAACTAAAAATAAGGTGGTGCTGGAAAAAAAACAAATGGCTGGAACACAATGATAGGTATACGGGTCACATACCTGGGTCTAACCAGAGTAACAAGTAATCCAAAACTGTAAAAACTAAGTAAGGTGGAGTGATCATAACAAGTTAGGTGATTGTGTCAAAAAAGGACAGCAAGGAAGATTTACAGATACAGACAGTATGGTGGAATTACATGAGCGTGACATGAACCCAAGATCACCGTTGAGGCCATCTTCATGGGTATGGAACTCGACTATCAGTTTCTGCTCAACGATTCTGCGTTGTTGATGTACCTCGATGGCCATCTTGGAAGACGCTTACCCGAAGATCGCAGGGTGAATGTCCTTGACTGCTGAAGTGTTCCCCGACTGGGACAGAACAGTACTGTCTGGCAATTATTGCACGGTGTCCATTCATCTGTTGTCATAGCATGGTCTTGCCAATGTACCTTGCCTGCAGTGTATGAAGTAGACAACATTGGCCAAGTCCCACGAGCGTCTGCCATGTACGTCATGGGTGTGTTCCTGCATGTGATGGTAGTATCCATGTCGATGACCTGGTATGTCTTGCAGAGGTTGCCATGGCAAGGTTTTGGGGTGTTATGGTCAATGTTGTCCTGAAGGCTGGGTAGTTTGCTGCAAATGATGGTCTCTTTAGGGTTTGGCAGTTGTTTGAAGGTGAGAAGTGGAGCTTAGGGATGATCTTGGCGAGATGTTAAAACTAATTACACGAGAACGCATCCTCCTCCTTAATGTTGCTGGAGGTCACTCAAGTTGTCACAAATTTTTGTTTAGGGAAGTTTTAATGTGTCCAACCTCATGCCTTTACCCAAAGTGTGGACAATTCATTTTTACAGGGTTTTTGATGGCCTGTTGTACTCGTCTCAAATACTTCAAAATGGAGATTTAATACAATCAGGACTTTCATTTCCCAGTACTACTTTTTGTTGCCATGGAAAAGCCCATTTGAGTTTCAAATGGCTTCCTCATCTTCTCGTGGCCTTGCTGCTGTGAGATGGTCTGTTGAGTTGAGATTCCATGTGTGAAGCTGAATTTTGTGAAGGCAGAAATCCTGCTGCGGGAGCCAAAAGTGGTAGGCCGACTCTGTTTCATCCAGTGACAGGATATTGTTAAGGAAATTGATGGTACCAATCAATTATGCCCAATCAATTGGGGACTACTGTTAAGAATGGTGGCCTGTGCAATATGGAGAGATTACATGAATGGCTCAGCGTTCTTAAGTTGTATTTGGAGAAGGGCCCGGGAGTTAGGAACAACTAGCAGTGTTAAAAGGTGGTTGTGTGGCCATGGAGTGTCCATAAATGGGGACCTGACTTTGGGCAGTGGTCTTTCCACATGTTGGCATGTCTCTTGTTACTTAAGTAGCTCAATTGGCCTCACATTAGACATCTAAACTACTTACATTTCCACCAATGTCAATCAGTATTCCTGCTTCCCAATCTGGCCTCCGTGGGGTCAGAAAACCCCAGCCAATATTTCATTTTCTGAAGAGCTTTATTCAATGCTATTTTACAACTTCTAATTATTTTTTAATTTTCAGCATCTTGTAATAATTCCACTATGAAGCATACAAAAATTATCATCAGTGATGCATTTTTTTCATTTTTGTGATCGCACATGGAAGGTTTTGTATGGACTTTTTCCTTTTACTTTATGTTGTAGTTACTGTCTCCTGAGATGCCTTGCACAATAGTTTCTGGAGATTTATGTTAGGCTATTTATCATTAAATTGATTAAGTAATTTTACCCTGAATTGGTTTCCATTAAATAAGTTACATTAAAGCAACTGTGCAGCAATTAGAAACCAACTGTGGAAAGAGTAAGCATGATTGAGGACTTTGTTATGTTAATAACGTGTAAACATTGATTTATTTTTCTTTTATAATACAGACATTGCAAATAAAGTCCTACTGGCTCTATTCACATGCGAGATGTTAGTGAAAATGTACAGCCTGGGTCTGCAGGCATACTTTGTTTCCCTTTTTAATCGCTTTGATTGCTTTGTGGTGTGTGGAGGAATCATTGAAACCATCCTGGTTGAGTTTGAAATTATGTCTCCTTTGGGAATCTCAGTATTTAGATGTGTTCGGCTTCTAAGAATATTCAAAGTGACAAGGTAAGATTGACAATATTTAGCTTAATTAACTTATTTGTCAAGTTGTGTTTTATTCTGAAAAAGAGATTTTTTAAGTTTGATCCCATAGTTACATATCCTTAACTATTACATTATAAGTTGTATTTTAGATCTTTGAACAGGGAATAAAATGCATATTTACAATGTCAAGGCATATTCTTGATCTGGAAACCAGTAAATCTACTTCTCTATCATGGTAGTTCCTGTTTATGTTCTCACTCTAATCTATAGTGTGGTTGGGGTGTCGGGGGAACTTAAAAATGACAATGTGTGAACTTTACAACAGTGTACCTGATAAAGTATTTGTAGTTACAAAGGATCTTGTGATTAGAACTGTGTGGCCTTTTCTGAAAGGTATTAAGTAAAGTGTGAGGTTATTAGGCAAATAGAAAAACTGTAAAAACAATAATCCAGTTCCCTTGCTTCCTTTCCTTTTATCAGAATCTTAATATGTGACGGAATTATCTGCACGTGCAGTACTAGAGATGCAGTTGATACTTTTCCCCAGTTACTGTCATAAGTAAAAGGAATATTTCAGAACTATGAAGTTGTAAATAGTATTGAATTCATTCATTTTATGAATAGATTAATCACAATTTCTGAAGTTGCATCTCTTACTGATAAGATTATTTTAAAACCAGTCTTCTAATAATGTAATTGTGTTTTGTTAGGCACTGGCAATCATTGAGTAACCTGGTAGCCTCATTATTGAACTCAATGCGATCCATTGCTTCCTTGCTGCTCCTGCTTTTCCTATTTATTATTATCTTTGCACTGCTGGGAATGCAACTTTTTGGTGGCAAATTTAACTTTGATGAAACACAAACAAAACGGAGTACCTTTGATAACTTTCCACAAGCTCTTCTCACTGTATTTCAGGTAATTATACTTAGCCAGTGATAAAGCACAAGTTTGTTTGTACCCTGTATGTAACAAAACTGTATATTCCTCCTTCACAAATGGATCTACACTTCCATTGTACATAGTTTACAGGCAGAAATAATTTCCTTCCTTCACAGATGTACTACAGAAAAATAAAACAAGAATCTTGTCCATCACATGGACAATTCCACGGACTACTTCAACCGTGAGAGTTGCATTCACAGGAGCTGTAGGTGACTGTATATAGTGATATACTGTTGCAGCCTTGACTGTCTAAACTACACTCCGAATTGTGCCAAACAACCTTTTCCAGGTCCCATTTTAGAGAACTTTTTTCAGGAAAGCATGGATTTCTTTTACACTGGCAATGTACAAATTAGAAAAAAAAAATAGTAGCAAAGCATAACAAGAATACTGCAGATAATTGCCACGTGGGAGTAGGATTTCAGGTTCATTTTGATTCCCGGTCTCTCTGGTGTACACATGAAAGTTCATTGCACAGTTTGATTATGCTTGCTGAGAAATACAAATCTTGAAAACCATTAAAAAACCAAAAGAACTGCGGATGCTATAAATCAGGAACAAAAACAAAGTTGCTGGAAAAGCTCAGCAGGTCTGGCAGCATCTGTGGAGGAGAAAACAGAGTTAACATTCTAGTGACCCTTCCTCAGAACTGATGGTGGCTGGGAAAACGTCAGTTTATGTGCAGAAAATAGGGAGGTGGGTGGGGTAGGGAGTAAACGATAGGATAGAGCCCAAAGAGAGAGAGAGACAGTTGGACAGACAAAGGAGTTGCTAACGATCAGGCTGGGAGGGTGAGTCGTCGTTAGTGGGGACTGTTAGTCACTCCATCGTTTACTCCCTACCCCACCCACCTCCCTATTTTCTGCACATAAACTGACATTTTCCCAGCCACCATCAGTTCTGAGGAAGGGTCACTAGACCTCCTGAAAACCATTGGCTGTTTCCATTTTTGGATGGTCTCCGAAAGTAGTATTATGATTTCTGTGTTTACAGTTGTAGTCCCAGGTGACACATATTGCAGCGTAACATTTAATCCGTTTCTGTCGGAGCATTTGGTTAAGCGCAGAAGACAGCTCGTTGACACTTGATTTTCATATGTAGGATTGCAGAACATTCAGGCATTTAATTGGTTTTCATGAAATGCATAATATGTGTGCAAAATGCTACTTCAAAATACAAAAATAATTATGTTTGTATTGAAATACAACAGCTCTAATGTGGTCTAACATTTAATGTTAGCATGTGCTCTAACAAACATTTTATGGTAGAAATCTTTTTGGGTGGAATACCGAGGTTCCATACAGTACTTCCTCATTGTAAAGGGCTGCCATTAGAAAGTCAGACAACTTAGGATCAAACCTGTACTCCATTTGATACTCAAAATATTGTTCATTTTGCAGCCCCATCATTTGCATCAGCTAAAAATGAAGGAAAAGCAGTTTTTGGCTATGTATAATGCATCCATTACATTTTCAACTATCAACAAGCTATTACAAAGTTGAATATTTAGTGTAACCTGTTTATATTTAGTTAAAATGTTTCTGGATGTATTCAAATAGATTTTAACTGGTGAAGATTGGAATATGGTGATGTATGATGGAATTATGGCGTATGGTGGACCATCCTCTTCAGGGATGATAGTTTGTATATACTTTATCATTCTGTTCATATGTGGTAACTGTATCCTTCTCAAACACTATAACAGATAAGAATAATAGCTTTCAGTATAAAATATAGAGTAGTATATTTTCCTTCAGTTACATTATAATGTACAAAGTTGATTCTCTCTTTGTACTCGTTCTGATTTTTCTTCAGTAGTATTCCAAGAGATGAAAATGTTTCTGAAGAAAAGTCAATGGACTTGAAACAGTAACTCTTTTCACACTCCAGTGATCATGCTGGACTTGGAGTTTCTCCTTTTTATTTAGAAATATTACCAATTGTTTCACCTACTTCACTTCTATAATCCTGCCCGTCCATCAGAATAGATCAAAGAGTTATTTAAAATGATGACTGGGCCTGTCCTGGTGTGCTCTTGCCTTGTTACTGCTGACTGGGTGTTTGAATACTGATTTTATTTTTTTGGCTGTTCAGAGCCATCTATCCCAGTCTAGGTGGTGACTAATTGCTTTTGAGGTTAGGGCCCGATAATACCATTCAAATACAAAAGCAGTGATGACAGTATTGAAGCCACTATTAAAAGCTGGCAGTTAGTGGACAATTGCAAGACAACTCAATGGAAAATTTAGATTTTTTTTTTTTTTTAAATGTTGTCTTGAACTAGGAGACAATCTTTCTGGAAGAGGATTGACACTAAAAATTCTGTTTAATGAACACGATTTTATTATCATAAACAGCTCCTGACAGTTATTCGATGGTTTGAACAACAAATTTATTTTCTACACATTAGTCTCCAGTAGCTGTTAAAATATTTGCATATAAGTTTCAGAAATCAATTGGGCTGTTCTGATATATTGTTGTCACATGTACCTAAATTTACAGTGAAAAGTTTTGATAGTGAGCGTACAGGCAGATGATAGCAAATCAAGACATACAGGACATACATAAAAGGTACTTAGACAGAATGAGGCATAGGAGGTTACGATTGCATAGGAGGTGCACAAAAGCAAGGTCAAAATTAGATTGAAATTAGAGAGGTCCATTCAGCAGTCTAATAACAGCAGGGAAGAAGCTGTTCTTGAACCTGTTGGTGTGTGGTGTTCAAGCTTCTGTACTTCTGCCTGATGGAAGAGAGTATTACTGGGGTGGGAGAAGTCTTTGATGTTGGCAGCCTTTCTGTGGCAACAAGAAGTGCAGATGGAGTCCATGGATGGTGGGTTGGCTTCCGTGATGGTCTGGGCTGTGCAAAAAAAACTTTGTATTTTCTTACGGTCCTGGACAGAGCCGTTGTTGTACCAAGTTGTTATGCACCTGGATAGAATGTTTTTTTTTTTGATGGGTGAGGGTCCTTATGGACATGCTGAATTTCCTAAGCTGCCTGAGGAAGAAGAGGCGTTGTGTGCCTTTTTGACCATCACATCTACGTGGGAGGACCAGGACAGATTATTGGTTATTGTCATTCTTAGGAATTTGATGCTCTCGACCCTCTCCACCACAGCTCAGTTGATACAGACGGGGATGTGTCTTCCTCCTTTCTTCCCGAAGTCAACGATCAGTTCTTTTGTTTTGCTGACATTCCGAGAGACATTGTTATCATTGCAGCACAACACCAAGCTCTCCATCTCCTTCCTGACTTTGACTCATCGTTGTTTGATATCCACCCTACAAATGGTGGAGTCATCAGCAAACTTGTAGATGGTGTTCGTATGGAATTTGGCTACAGTCGTGGGTATATAGGGGGTTGAGTACGCATCCTTGTGGGGCGCCAGCATTGTGGAGATGCTGTTGTTGATCTTCAGTGATGGCGGTTTGTGGGTCAGGAAGCTGAGGATCCAGGCACAGTGGGCAGAGCTAAGACCTAGGTCTTGGAGTTTTGAGATTAGTCTGGTAGGGATTACGATGTTGAAGGAAGAGCTGTAGTGTATTAGTAAAAGCCTGATGTAGGTGCCCTTGTTATCCAGATGTTGCAGGGCGAGGGAAATGGCACCCGCTCTAGACTAGTTTTGCTGATAGGCAAATTACAGGGGATTGAGGCAGGCTGGGAGGTTAGAGTTGATGTGGGCCATGAATAACCTCAAAGCACTCCATGGTTATGGAATAAGAGCCACTAGGTGGTCATCGTTGAGACACGTTACACGTGTTTTCTTTCGTACAGGGATGATGGTGTTCTTCTTGAAGCAGAAGGGGACTTCACATTGTAGCAAGGAGAGAGAGAGAGAGAGAGAGAGAGAGAGAGAGAGAGATCGAAGATGTCAGTGAACATTTCCACCAGTTATTCCGCACAAAATCTGAGTGCACCCCAGGGACTCTGGGCCAGTTGCTTTCCTTGTGTTAACTCTCAAGAAGACGGATCTGACATCTGCAGTGGCGATAGAGGGAAAAGGTGCGTCTGGGGCTTTTAGGACAGGTGACACCACGCCCCTGGCATTCTGCTCAAACCGAGCATAGGAGGCATTGAGTGCATCAGGGAGGGATGTTGTTTTGTCCACTATTTTGTTCCGCTTAATTTTGTATCCTGTCATGTTGTGTAGGCCACAGGCTGGGTGTCCATGGGATTAGTTTGGGCCTGTAACTTGGTCCGGTGCCGCCTCCTGGTATCTGTAATGGCTTTGCAGAGGTCATATCTGGATTTGCAAAAACTTCTCTTAAGCCCACAAAGAAATCTTGAGCCCTCCCTTCCCAGGCACCTGTATCTTGTTCCTGTTCATTATTGCTTCTCAAATCTAACTCACAACTTTACTTGGTGTCAAGATCCATTCCTTTGTGCCCTGTTGAGAGTTTCTGTTCCTGCTCCCAGCCTCCTCACCATTTCTGTTTGGTTCTATCTTGGGAGATATAATGGTGTCCACAGTTAGAATACCCCACCTGTACCTTTGGGTTTTATTGTCTGCTCTGGGTGCCTGTAAATTGCACAAACATCCCAAGTTAAATTGAAGTGGAGATTTCTTCATCTGCTTTTCTTTAAGAGACCACTGCAATTATATAATTATTTGCAATGCCCAATAAATTTCACATTTGGACATCTCTTATTTGATATTGTAGGCTGTCAGTTGCAAGTTAATTTCTGTGGCACTTAAATTGTTAAACAGCATGCAGTCCTCTTAAAATTGAAACTGAACAATAAAGTCCTCTTGCTGGATCACTAAACTGTGATTATCTTTAAATAAAACAAATAATTTAAATGGAGCATCCAGAATGTATTAACATTTTCCTTAAGTTATCTTTGTTAGACATCTTGCTGAATGTCTTTTTGGCCATCGCTGTTGATAATTTAGCTGATGCTGAAAGCTTAAATACCGTGCAAAAAGAAACCGAGGAAGAAAAAGAAAGGAAAAGAAGTGCCAGGTAATCCATTAACTTATTTTACAATGTGGTTGATATAAATTTTGAAGAAGCTATATTTGTAACAATTCTGCAGTCACAGCCCAATGAATATTAATGCAAATTTTAAACTTGTCTGAAGTTGTATGTTGTGATAAAGGTATCATAGATATATCTATTTATATCCATCTATCATCTGTAAATTTAGATTTTAAAATCTTTAGTGACTTACTTCTTTTATGAGACGAGAAAATATTTTGAAACAGTGAACTAAATGTGTATTTTCAGATAAAACACGTGATTTAAGTTAATTGGCCCAGTCAGATACCTGCGTTGTAAACTGTTGAATGTTTGTAATATTAAATTTTATACCCTACATACAAAGAGCTGGTTAGAGGCCTGAATCAGGTTTCTGTTCAGAAGAGCAGGTTAATTTCTAATAATTCTCAGACTGAAAGTTTTTAGTTCGTAGAAACTCCAGGCTGACCAAACTTTGTAGAAGCCTCTGTGTTTTGGGAACTGGAAAGAAGTCCAGATTATCAGGACTGCAAATCCCCGAGTCATCAGAACTGAAAAGAAGTCTTTAGGCCATTTAAACTGGAACGAGTCAATTGAGTAAGAAATTTTAAAGTTAAAGGTAGGAGTGATACTTCACTGTGATTTGAGAATCCAAAAGATACTTCTGGGAAAGAGTTTAACCTCTCATTGTTTTTATGTTCACATCTTTCAAAGTTGTTTTGCAATCACAGGTGACATGCTGGATGACTGGACATTGGCTAATATGGTGCTATTATTTGAGAAAGATGATAAAGGAAAAGCCAGGGAACGATAGACTGGTGAACCTGACCTCAGTGGTGGGCACATTTTTGGAGAGAATCCTGAGGAACAGAATTTACATTTATTTGTAAAGGCAAGGACTGATTAGAGATAATCAACATGGCTTTGTGTGTGGGAAATCATCTCACTAACTTGATTGAGTTTTTTGAAGAAGTGATGAAAAGGATTGAATGAAGGCAGAGTGGTGTACATGGTCTGTGTGAGGCATTTGTGAAGCTTCTGCATGGTAGACTGGTTAACAAGGTTGGATCATATGGAATACAGAGAAAACTAGCCATTTGGATACAGAACTGGCTTGAAGGTAGGAGACAGAAGGTGGTGGTAGAGGGTTGCTTTTCAGACTGGAGACCTGTGGCTAGTGGTGTGCTGCAAGGATTGGTTCTGGGTCCACTCCTTTTTGTCATTTATATAAATTATTTGTATGTGAACATAGGATGTATGATTAGTAAGTTTGCACATGACACCAAAATCGATGGACAGCCAAGAAAGTTACCTTAGGGTATAATGAGATCTTGATCAGATGGGCCGATGGAGTTTAATTTAGATAAATGTGAAGTACTGCATTTGGTAGGCAAATCAGGGCAGGATATTTACACTTAATGCTAAGGTCCTCAGGAGTGTTGGCGAACAAAGAAACCTTGGAGTGCAGGTTCATAGTTCCTTTAAAGTGGAGTTGCAGGTATACCGAGTAGTGAAGGCAGCATTTGGTATGCCTACATTTATTGGTCAGTGCATTGAGTATAAGATTTGGGAGGTCATGTGGTGGCTGTTCAGGACAATGGTTGGGCCACTTTTGGAACATTGCATTCATTTCTGGTCTCCCTGCTATAGCAAAGGTGTTAAATTGCAGGGATTGTTCCCTCTGGGACACCATAGTCCGTTCCTCAACCACCAACATCACTCCACCTTCCCATGTAACCGCAGAAAGTGCAACGCCTGCCCCACCTCCCCTGCTCACTATGCAAGGGCCTAAACAGTCATTCCAGGTGAAGTTGCATTTCACCTGTACCACCTCCAATCTTGTGTATTGTATTTGCTGCACCCAGTGTGGTCTACTGTACATCGGAGAAACCAAACGCAGACTGGGTGACCGCTTTGCAGAACACCCCTGGTCTGCGTGCAGGCATGACCCTGACCTTCCTGTAGCCGGAGATTTTGAAACAGCACCCTGCTTGCATGCCCACGTGTCTGTCCTTGGCATGCTGCAATGCTGTAGCGAATTATAATCGCAAACTGAAGGAACAACATCTCATCTTCAGACTAGACACTTTACAACCTTCTGGGCTTGATATGGAGTTCAACACCTTCAGGTTGTGAACCCTCTTCCATTCCTTCCCATGCTTTTAGCTTTACTTGTTGCATTCTCTGTCACCATGTCCCCTCTCCCCTCCCCCAACTCCAGTGGGACTGTCGGTTCTATTCAGTTTGGCAGTTAGACACAGCATTGTTCTGCCATTCTCACATACCGATCACTTAATATGAACTATCAACATCCTTTCTTCTCGCCCCATCCATACGTGTGCTCCTTCCACACTTCACATCAGCTCTGATGAAAAGTCATCCAGACTCAAAACGTTAGCTTGCTTTCTCTCCATGGGTACTGCCTGACCCGCTATGATCTCCAGCGTTTGTTGTTTTCAGGGCTTTGAGGGTTATGGGCCAAATGCTGACAAATGGGACTAGCTAAATTTAGGATATCTGGTCGGTATGGACGAGTCAGACAAAAGGGTCTGTTTCCATACTGTACATCCCTATGACTCTATACAGAGATTTTTTTTGTTTTCTTTCATGCGTTTACATTTACATTCTTTTGTTGCAAGAATACGTTCCATGACTAACAACCACGGAAACCAAACTGCAAAAGCAATAAGAGACAAAACTGCAGATGCTGGAATCCAAGGTAGACAAATAGGAGGCTGGAAGAATACAGCAAGTCAGGCAGCATCTGGAGGAAAGAAGCAGTCAATATTTTGGGTATTACCCTTCTTCTGCACTGGAGAAGGGCAATACCCAAAACGTTGACTTCTCCTTTCCTCCAGATGCTGCCTGGCGTGCTGTGTTCTTCCAGCCTCCTGTTTGCAAACACAATAAAACTGATGATTTCTCAAACCTGCTCTCACTCTGGGCTGTGACTTGACCTGTATTACTATCAGCTGGGATTATCATAATGTAAATACTATGTTTCTGAAACAAATGATAAAGAAAACATTTGACTTGATGAATTAAAAAAAATTGACATCCTGGTACTGCAAGTCAGTCAAAGAGAAAAGAGTCAAAACTTTCTGCTGCAGTGATATCTATATGGAGGGGATTAAGCTACATCACATTTTTTAAGAACATTTTTGTTATTTTTGCTTAGATTACTGCTTTATATTGTAAGTTTCCACTGACAATGTAGCGTTCACAATAAGATTCGTACAGGGTTTTGAGAAGCTAAATCGGAGGTAATTCCATATTTACAACTAAATATATATTTATTACATGTCTTGAACACGTCTGACAAGTCAGTCAACTTGGCATTGCAAAATGTGTTACATAATGGATCAAGTGCTTTTTCATTTTTAGCCATTGACACTAACTGAGAAGAAGAAAGCAACACAATGTCTAATACACTGGTGTCACACATTCACATTGAGTGCTGCTGTATCAGCAGATAGTACCTGAAAGGTTTAACTGACATCATAACGTACATTCCAGGATAGAAAGGGCTGATCCAGGAAGGGCTAACCAGGGTTCTGTGTACCACAGTAGTTCTGCATGCATTTAGCGATGGACGTATAGCGTTTCAATGTTTGTTCTTGGTATTAACAGCTTGTAGCTAAGTTAACAGCGTATACTTGATGTTAACTTGAGCCCAGTTGTCTCTCACAAGATTATATCTCAAATGTAACGAAACTAGCTACTAAACAATATGTAATTAACCTATTTACTGTTAATCAAGATAGATACTTCGGCAAAAGATAGATGCGGTTTGGATATCCTTTGCCCAGCAACATCAATAACAGACTGATATCAGCTAGAAGGGTTGGTGGCAAAATATCTACTCAAGGCATCCCTGGTGGTTCTATCAAAAACTAACACACAAACAGTGTAGCCATGCAGATTTCCAACTCGGGAGGAATGATGACATTGGAAAGCAGGTGTTGTTCTGAAATATAACAAAACAGAACTTGAGCAAATGTCATTTGAGTTAAGTTTTTCTTCCCATTTGTTAGCTTATATGATTCCAAATGGTTTTCTAATATCTGAGAAAAAGAAGAAGATCATAGTCATAGAAGTCACTCTATGTCAGGCACAAATATATCAAATGTGTATTGGATGAGGTTCTAATCTGTTTCCATTGCCAAACTTTCAGTGGTGTTCAGGAAACAAACTATGGCAAGGACTGTGCACTTCCCTTGCTTTTCTCTGATATATGGTGTCATAGAACTAATTTCTTCCACTTGGAAAGTTTGCACCTTGTTGACATTTGGATTCAAGGTTTTCTGGCTTAGAATACAATAATCTGACCATTCCTGTGTTCTTACACTTGGGTCCCTACCACAAATGTACACAATTATTTCAGCTCTTGAGAGATCAAATTATGCTCATTTATGCTAAGTATATCAGCACTGTTCGTTGGGCAAATGTTAAAATATATCATCAAATGTATATTATTTTTAGAACTGCCAGTTCAGAGCAAAGAGTGGATGGGAAATATGAACTTGATGGAATAAGCGAAAACAATGACAGGAAAGTACTTACTGGCACTCAGGTAAAACTACCTCAAGCTTAAGTTGAAAACTACACACTTTTAAATGATACAATGCCATCTTTGATTATGACTATAAATATTTTGAAATGAATAATTTATGATTATCATGTTCTTAAATGCTTCAAAGATTTCAGTTGATGAAGATGATAAGGATCCTTATCCACCCACTGATGTGCCAGGTATGAAAAACTGATTTATTTTTGTAAAGAAATTCATTTGTGGAATAACTAACACATGGATATTTATTTTGAAACTACCTGTTGATAATCCGATCACATATGCTTGCTGCACCACTGAGTAATGGTGAACAGATTTATACATCTAACTTTCTTTATACTGATTTCTGAACCCCAAAATGATCTTTGATAAAAAGAAAAAAAAAATGGAGGTAATATTCACTGAGGACGTGGTCATGTACCTCCTACCAGTTAAGAAAGAGAGAAACTTTGAGTTTATTCAGCACTTGTCTGTATCTTACAGCCAAACAATTGCTTTTGAAGTACAGTTATGCTGTTTTGTGGGCAAATGCACTTTGCACATATTGGGATCCCACAGATTTCAGTAAGTTAGTTGCACAACAGCATTAGGAAAGGCCTTGCACAGTATTGCTCAAGCTTTCACTTAGTTCAGCAAAATAAAGTATTTCCCTGGGCTATGGATGTTCAGTTTTAGAGCACATCTAAGCCCGAGAAGGCGAAACCTTTGAGTGCTAAATGTGGAGGTGCTGGTGTTGGACCGGGGTGGACAAGGTCAGAAATCATACAAACCCAGGTTATAGTCCAACAGGTTTATTCGAAAACACAAGCTTTCGGAGCCTCAGTCAGAGATACTAAGAACTGCCAATGCTGGAGTCAGAGATAACGCAGTGTGGAGCTGGAGGAACACAGCAGGCCAGGCGGCATCAGAGGAGCAGGAAAGTTGACGTTTTGGGTCAGGACCCTTCTCCAGAAAATGAGAGAGGGGGGAAGGGAGCTCCGAAGTAAGTAGAGAAGAAGGGTGGGACTGGTGAAGGTAGGTGGGATGGTGATAGGTGAGTGCAGGTAGGCAGTGGAGGAGATTGGTCAGTGAGGTGGGAGAGAAGACGGACAGGTCAAGGAGGTGGGGCTGAGGGGGAGATTTTGAAACTGGTAAAGTCCACATTGAGTTGTAGGCTCCCAAGGCAGAATACGAGGTGCTGCTCCTCCAGTTTCCAGGTGGCGTCGTTGTGACACTGGAGGAGGCCCAGGATGGACATGTTGCCCAGGGAGTGGGAGTTGAAGTGGTTCGCGACTGGAAGGTGTTGTCGTTTGTCGCAAACAAAGCACAGGTACTCTACAAAGCAGTCTCCAAGCCTCTGCTTGGTCTCACCGATGTAGAGGCCGCCACATCGGGATCAGCAGATGCAGTAGACCACGTTGGCAGATGTGCAGGTGAACATCTGTCTGCTGTGGAAGGTTTTTTTGGTTCCTTGGATGGAGGTGAGGGGGGAGGTGTAGGGGCAGGTGTAGCGCTTCCTGCAGTTGCAGGGAAAGGTATCCCGGGTGGTGGGGCTAGTTGGGAGTGTGGAGCGGACGAGGGAGCCACCTCGAAACTGATATCTATTTCAAGCCCATCAACTCCTACAGCTACCTAGACTGCACCTCTTCGCACCCACCTTCCTGCAAGAATGCGATGCCCTACTCTCAATTCCTCCACCGCCACTGCGTATGCTCCCAAGATGGAGCGATCCACTCCCAAACATCCCAGATGTCCTCTTATTTCTAGGACCACAACTTGCCCCCTTCGGTGATGGAAAATGCTCTCGACCACGTGTCTTGTGTTTCCCGCACCTCTGCCCTTACATTCCCTCCCCGCAACAAGAACAAAGACCGAATCTCCCTTATCCTCACGTATCACCCCACTAACCTCTGGATTCAAAGTATCATTCTCCGCTACTTCTACCACCTGCAATCTGACCCCACAACCAAGGATATATTTCCCTCCCCACCTCTCGCCTGCGCGCGGGGGTGTGCTCTCTCTCTCACATATGCACATGAATCTATGGGGTGAATTTGTATTTGCAGGCACATTCGAATTTGGTCAAAATGCATACAACGTTATAGATGGTCAATGTGGTGTTTTATAATTTCCTACTTAAGGAATAAAACCAGTTAGACTCCAAACTAAAACACAGATTCTGACAAGGCCTCACACCAAACATGCATTGTCTGACTAAAACATCACTTCTTTACACACAGAGAACTAAAGGTTTTATCACAGGACCATGACTTGAAAGGAATTTCAGGGATTTACATGTAGATATTAGTCAATTAAAACCTAACTGGTTAAAGAATTAACAGCATCTTTTGGTTTGTTTAGCATATCCTCCTCAATGGTGTGACCCTTTGATCTTTTACTTATAAATTCAGTGTCTGATACTATCTCTCTCACCAACACCTGAAGGAGGACTGAGGCTCCAAAACTTGTGTATTCAAATAAACCTGTTGGTCTATAACCTGGTGTCGTGTGATTTCTGATCTTTGAGTACTAAAGGAATCAAGGGAGATGAGGCTAGGGAAGAAGAGTGAGTTGAAATAGAAGACAAATCCTGTTCTTATTGGATGGCTGCACAGGCTTGAGGGTAGAATGACTAACTACATTGCCAATTTCTTATGCTGTCATTGTTACGTAGACTTGACTTTGATGTTGATGTAAATTTCATTCGATTAGTATTTCTGACAAAATTGTAAATGTAGCACTGTAGCAACTGGAACATGTTGCCTTTATATTTCAGGTTTCTTCATTTTCATGACTCTTGCCCAACTGACTTTTCTCACTGTGGACTATATGACTGGAGAACAATACAGCTAAGTCTGCACCCTGTTCTCAACTGACATCAATGAACATATATTTTCTAGAGCAGTTGGTTAGTTCAGTTGGCTGGATGGGTGGGTTGCAATGCAGAATGACGCTAACAGCATGGGTTTAATTCCTGCTGAGGTTACCATGAAGGACTATCCTTCTGTCTCTTCCCTCATTAAACCATTACCAGTCATCTCTCCAATGAGACAGCAGCCCTATAGTCTGGCAACACTGGTGACTTTACCTGTATTTTTTAGAACCGCGACAGTTACAGATTTAGTCCTAATACCGAAGGAACTGGATCTAATTATAACTGCCATACTCATGTTGGCTGAGATCAACAGCTTAGCATAGACCCATTGGTTGATTTCAACCTGGAATTGGTTTTGGGCAGGTGACTGCAGAATGCTTAAATTTAACAAATGTGAATGTAGTGACTAATGGCTATGGTCTGGATTGCCTGGATATGAGATAAGACAGCCTTTGCTTCAAATTCTGGTGCTCATTTAATTTGAGAGCTAGCATCTGTGGAAGTGATGATGTATTGGTCGGTTCTGCTAGATAATTGGTGACCTTGTTGCAGCTGCATGTATGCTGGGAGATTCCAGTGATGTCTCCTGCACAATGTGGAAGAAGGTTTGAGACAAAAAATTCAGGGTAATGATAATTTCACAGACAATGGATAAATTTAGTCATCTGGGCTTAGTGAGCTCATGGGTTATCTCGTCACTACTAGAGCAAGTTAGACACAAAGTATTCCATAGTAAGTGGCTCACCTTTTAACAATCTCAAAACCTGTCTGTCAATTACAAGTCATGATTATGTCAGAATAATTTCCATTTGCTTGGATAGATACTATTCCATCAATACTTAAAATGTTCTTCATCACAATCCAGGACAAGCATCCACTTGATTGACATTGTGTTTACTGATTTAAGTAGGCACTACTTTCAATGTTGGAGTAACATAACTAGAGTGTACTAGCTGCAGGGTGCCTCCTTTCTGTGTGTGAGGTCAGCTTCCAGATTTCCTGATTTTATGCTTGCGTAGAGATGGTGAGCTGCAGCTGGGTATACATTATTGGCGTGCAAGTCACCAGATATATATTAATGAGGCTCAGCCTTTTAAATAGACTGGACCTTCCCCTGTACGTATCAGATGAGTGATCCATGCATACTATCTGCTAACTGGAGGTCAAAATTCCATTTTATAGAGATGTTATGGATATATTTTGAATTTGTGTAAGGTGGCAGGGAGTTTTGATATTATTTGGATCCTGATACTGTGTATTTTAGATCTGCTTTTTGTAATTTTTAAATGGCCCCAATGATTTCAGCATTAGGTTGTGGTTTGTTCAATAAGCATAAATCGGTGTCAATAATTTTCATTCATAACATGATGACAATCGTTATCTACATTGTCATGCATTTTTCAAACAATGGGGGTCGTAATTTGCCTAATTTATACACAAGTACAGTAAAAGTATAATTCTGTTCTATTATAAAAGCAAAAATTGAATAAGTTATATAATGTTATTTTTCCAAATATTAACAACCACATTTATGTTTTCATTTGTTCTTTAAATAATCGGTTTTGCAAAAGTTCTCAAAGATGCAAGTATTATTATTTGTAAAATTAAGACATTTTTCAAAACAATACTTTAAAGAAGAGTAGCTTTATTTTCTGCTGTAAGAATGGATGAATGCTTAACTGTTTTTGTTTGTTCATATGTATGAAGATGATGATGATGAACCAGAAATACCAGTTGGACCTCGACCTCAAAGACTGGCAGACCTGAACTTGAAGGAAAAAATTGTGCCTATTCCAGAAGGGAGTGCTTTCTTCATATTCAGTAATACCAATCCGTATGTATGGCATACTATGTTTTCACTCAAAATTAAATGTCGTGCTTAGTAATTGAATAATGTTTGTCACAAAATACTAATTAATTTGTTGGGAATATAAAAGCATAATTGAGTAGTTCTTTGTAATATAAATTGTCTTGACTGCTATAATTCAATTATATTCTACATTGTCATTAAATCAATTGATTTTTACTTGTGCCAATTTTAAAAAGAAAAATATTGACTAAGTTAAACAAGAAGTGTAAACTAGATCATTATTATTAGTTTTGTTGCTTTTATCTTTCAGTGCCAGGTTGGAATAACTTAATTACTCAGAGACAGGAGTATGATATAGGATAACATATGATGTGCTTCATTCCCCTGAAGAGGTTCTGTAAAGATGTATAGAAAGGGAGTTGGGATGTGTGGTGCAGGAGCTGTCCTTTCTTGTAGGTTATTTAGGTGGCATAAGTAAGTTTGTGAATGTTATTTTTTCTTTTACTTTGATACTGTCTTTAATTTGCTTGGTTATCCATGGGTGGTTTATCCAGTCTTCAGTATGGAGGTCCTGGCACAGTAAATCAGAACAGCCTCTACTATTTGTCCAGGTTCTTGGACACAATCAGCCAGCCAGTTGGGTTGGTAAGGGTGAGGGAGTTTGTATTTCTGCAGTCCAGGAGATGGGGCATTGTCAGTTCTGGTTGCACTGGAACTACAATCTGGAAAGTTGTACTAAGTCACTTGGAAACCAAAAACAGAATCAGTCAGAGGTCTGGTCATTCATCATTCAGGTTGTCTGTTTGAGTTGGTTAAGGGGGTGAGCCATGGTTGGCCCTGGGGGTCTGTCCAGTAAAAGTCAAGTCAAGAGAGGCTGCAGCATCCACAGCTGCAGAACGGAAGCTGACGATCTCCATTTTGGGGATTTTAGTTTGGGCACTGCGATGCAGAAGGGATAACGTGAATGGACAATGGAAATGAAAATGCCTGTCGCGCCACCTGGAGTGGGCAGAGTAAGTGTTTCATTCTGTGAGGGAAGTGGCTCCACTTTCATGCAATATGAGGCCCTTCAAAAGGACAAAAGCTTTAATGGATATCCATCTATTTTAGGTGAATCACACCGTATGTGAACCTTAATCAGTTACCTACTATGTGAGGTACAAATTCTGGCTCCAAGCATTCTTGAGCTCATCATGCAATATCATGAATCAATCTCACTAACAACTAAGATGGAGTAAGCATGAGGTAACAGAGTTTGGTAGCATGTACCTACAGGAAATGGACCTTCATTTGGCATTGCTACACATTCCTTCACAACACTAACCTGGTGGGGTGGAGTACCCTCAATCCAGGCATGCAGGGTCTGGTGCTGTGGCCTCCTCTGCCAGTCCTGAGGGAAAAGGACAGCCCTTCTGTGCACCACCCCATCCACCATCGCTTTTCAGATTCCTGACAACAAACCAGGATGTGAATTTTCCTCAATGTGGCAGTTGTTGAATTAAGGAACTGTGCAGGGCAGTTCCAGACTGAGAGTGCTTGACCTGGTGCACAACTGTGTCTCAAGTATGGCTGTAATGCTGGGAATCCTGGGATGTCCTGGCTAGTGGGAAAATACAGTGAGCAGGGCGCTATGGAGACATAGTGCATAGCTGAGAAGGAAAGTTTCGGAAAAGCGTGGGAAATCTTCTTTAGAACTCATGGAGAGCAATGCTCTGTGAAACATATGATAACTGATGCTTAACTGATTTCTGGTAAAATTCAGCCCAATGAATAGGGAACCTTTTTTGTATTGAATGTTTTATTTTCAGGCAATTTGTATCTGTTATTCTGGCCATGTGGCCTTTTGCTTCTACTTCAGATTTTACTGCTGAGGTCCTCCTAGCCTTTGGTTGGCAAACCTATTTGGCTTAGCTGAAATCAGAAACTAAGCAAGGTAGGAAATGAATCTCCCTCTACTTTATGGCACTGAGCCATACCCTTTGTGCTATTTGCACTGAATTTATCAATTTCAAAGGGGCTAAGTGGTTAGCATTGCTGCCTCGCAGCACCAGGACCCGGGTTCGATGCTACCCTCGGGGGACTGTCTGTGTCAAGTTTGCACGTTTCCTCTGTGCACTCCAGTTTCTTTCCACAGTCTAAAGCTGTGCATGTTAGGTGAATTGACCATGCTAAATTGCCCATAGTGACCAGGGACGTGTAGGTTAGGTGGATTAGCCACAGGAAATGCAAGGTAATAGGATAGGGTAGGGTGGGGTGGGGAGTGCAGGAGGGAAGTGGTGTGGTGTGGTGTGGTGTGGTATGGGGGGTGGGGGTGGGGAGGAGGGATGCTCTTCAGAGGTTCAGTGCAAACTCAATGGCTGAATGGCCTGCTTCCACACTGTAGGGATTCTGTGATTCTAAGAACTTCCCATAGTTTTACATAAAATTTTGGTTCATTTTTCATTAGCTGTTAACTGCACAAATTACCTTAAAAATAGATCTAAAGAGCTAGAGAAAAATTAAGCCTAAAGCCGAATAAAATTCTACTGCTGCAGATTCGAAGAGACAAAAAGAGGAAGAAATTCAAGCTGATCACTTATTTTCCTAGCACAAAATCAGTGTCAGTTCTCAGGATTGCTTGCACTGCTACAGAATTACATTAGATGTATAAAATTTTATCATTCAGATAATCCATCTGAAAGAATAGAGAAAAGGCCTAATAAATACATACATAAATCAAAATATCTCATCTGCTAAAGAAACCTTCTGTATGTATTAATTTTAAAAACTACTCACAATTCCTTGTCAATAACAGCCAGGAAAAAGACAGAATCATTGTTATTGAAAGAGATTCTCAGCTACTTCCAGGTAAGTCTTCAATCAGACAAACAGGAGAGAAGAAGCATTCAACATTTCAGGTATTACCCTTCTTCAGGACTGGATGTTGAGGGCAGGGGCAGCTGCAGATAAAGAAGGGTGGGGGGAAGGGATGGAGGCAGAATAGTGGTGATAGGTGGATCCTGGTGATAGGTAAACCTGGTTGGTTGATGGGAGGGATGAATCCGGTTGGTGGTTGGAAGGGAGGGTCAGAAGGTCGAATGGAAGGGGAGGCGGGGGATGGGTGGCAAGGTTATTTGAAATTGGAGAACTCAGTGTTGAGTCCTCTGGGCTGTAGGGTAAAAGTGTTTTTCTTCAAATTTGCGTTCCAAGTTGCTGTGACACTGGAGGAACCAAGGACCATCATGTTGAAGGGGGAGTGGGGCTGGGAGTTGAAATGGGCATTGAACAGGAGGTTAGGTTGGCGGTTACGGGCCAGGCGAAAGTGCACAGTGAAATGGTCACCTAATCTACATTTGATCTCACTGACATAAAGAATATCACGTCGGGAGCACTGGATGCAATAGACTAGGTTGGAGGAGATGCAAGTAAAGCTCCTCCTCACTTGGAGGGACTGCTTAGGGCCTTGAATGGAGGTGAGGGAGGTGGTGTGTGGGCAGGTATTGCATCTTTAATGTTTACCGGGGAAGGTACTGGGTGAGTTGAAGTCGATGGTGGGGAGTATGGTGCGGACTAAGGAGTGGCGAAGGGAATGGTCCTTGCAGAAGGCAGAGAGGGGTGGGTAGTGGAAGATGTTCTGGATGGTGGGATCTAATTGGAGTTGGCGGAAGTGTTTGAGGATGATACGTTGGATGTGGAGGCTGGTGGATGGAAAGTGATTATGTTTGGAGGGTGGTGGTGCTTAAGAGCTGTGGAGTAGGGAATGGAGGAGGTGCGGTGGAGGGCTGTCTGGATGACAGAGGTGGGGGGGCGCGCGGTAAAGAGCATTGTTTGAAAAAGGCGGACATCTGGGATGCTTGGGAGAGGAACATCTCTGAACTGCTGCAGTTCAACCTAGGTGCAGGATGCAGCACTGATGCAGTCATCAGTATGACAGCGGAAGAGTTGGGGAACAGTATCGGTTTACCCAGCTCTGTGGAAGGGTCACCAGACTCGAAATGTTAACTCTGTTTCTTCCTTCACTGATGCTGGCAGACCTGCTGAGCTTTTCCAGCAACTTTGTTTTTGTTCCTGATTTACAGTATCCGCAGTTCTTTCGGTTTTTGTTTTTAATACCGGTTTACGTACTGAAGAGGGACTGTTCGAAATAACCGACAAAGAGGCAGGTGTAGCTGGGGCCCATGTGAGTGCCAATGGCAACCCCCTGGATTTGGAGAAAGTGGGAAGAATTGAAGGAAAAGTTACTGAGGGTGAGGACCCTATGGACATGTATAGAGTTTGAATGTCCGTAGTAAAGATGAAGCGCTGGGGGCCAGGGAACTTGAAGTTGCCAAAGAGGTGGAAGGCGTGGTTTGTGTCCTGGATGGAGGTGGGGAATGCCTGGACCAAGGGGTAGAGAATGGAGTCTCCAGTTAATTGTTTTACATTACTGGTACATGGTTTTGTGTTCATTTTCGACTTCGTTGGCCGTTTGTGTCAACGTAGTTTTTTGATTGGTAGGGCAGTCACCTCTCAGGTACTTGTGCACAAGTTTATGCTGACAACATGGTGTGCTGTTTAGTTTACCATTGTAGCTGAAAAATGAGCGAGTAAAAGAGAGGGAGGTCGGAGCATGCAGAACTGCAGCTTCTGTGAGCAGAAGATGAAGCAGGTTGGACATGTGAGTCCTTAAATCATACAAATGTACAGAAACAGAACACCTTCCTTCCAGTTAACTGAGGAAACTGCAGCTCAACCCCAGACAGACTTCAGACTACCTGTGATTCTGCAACTGAGTTTAGCTCTGAATTTCTGTAGCTGAAACATGTGACATAACAATAACAGCCTGTTCACAAGACATTGCTGGTCAGTATTGTGTTCTTTCCAACCCACACAAATTCATCACATTTCCCATGGAGGCAGTAAAATAGGAAGACAGAACTCTGGCTTTTGTTAGGATCTTAGGATTCGTCTATGTGCTGACATATCAAGACTCCCAGTATACACTAAGAAGAAGGACTTTTACATGCATCATGTTCAGATGTACAGCTGGCCTACAATTTGTAGGTATATGCCTGGTTTCCTGGCAGTTGTCATGATGCCTTTATTTTGTGTCAGTTCTCAATTCCCATTTCTCCTCTTCAAAGAACATGATTTGGCTGCTTGGTGATAAGAATGTCACCTGAACTTATGGGTCATGACACCTATTAAAATACTGATGACGTATGCAAAGGGCAGCTCAATTAGAAGCACATTTCTATCACAGCTTTGATTAATTAAACAATTAACATCTTGAAACAGATGTTCAGCCACCTAAGTAGGTATCCTGCAACATCGTTCTCAGAAAGTTTTGAGATTCAATGTGCAATTCTGCATGCTCTGTAACTTTTTTTTTGATGCAAGAGGACCAACTCTTGGAGCTACCTGGGAAGAAGTGTAGGTGCAAGAGCAGGAAGAACGGCAGGGGATTGAGGAACAACCATTTTTAACAATTGCTACAGCTTTACAGCAGAAAATCATTGAAAAATGCTTTCATTGAATTGTCTGAACCCCCTGCACGAACAATTCTCCAAACCACTTCCCTCACCTTCAATACCATCACAAGTTTGGCTATCACTTTACTAGGTTTAATCAAACAAGCCACAATTCAAAAGAACTGTGTGTATTAAGAAGCTGCTCCAGCTAATTAATTTTATATTTAGGAGCAAAGTAGTTCTAAACCTAAAGATGATCCTTTCTAGACCCCTTGTCCCTGGATACAGCTAAGGATTTTATTTGAGCATATTGGCATCGACTGACTGCTAAGACGGTAATCTACTTTGCAATTTTGAAATTAATTTTAGAAAGTCAGTGCTTAGTAACAAGCGGTGTATCACTACAAGTGGTTACAGGAGTAATAGTTGCCAATGGGGTTTACAACGAGTTGCAGACCATGTTTACTAGTTAGTGTCTTGGTTATATCCCCTCCTCCTTGTCACACTCAGAACTCCACTGGAGGTGCTGGTTTTCTGAAGTGTTTCCTGGAAGTTGTCTTTTTTCAGCACTAAATCTTTATCCTCCTCAAGAATGTCAATGGCCAAAGTGAGCAGGCAGAAATGGTCTTAGTGTAAGAAGATCATAGAATCCCTACAATGAGGAAAGAGGCCATTTGACCCATCGAGTTTGCATTGACCCTCTGAAGAGCATCCCACCCAGACCTAGCCCCTACCCTATTGCTGTAACCCTGCATTTGCCATGGATAATCTACCTAGCCTGCACATCCCTGGACACTACAATTTAGTATGGCAAATCCATCTAACCTGCATATCTTTGGACTGTGGGAGGAAACCAGAGCATTGTTTCCACTTAACCTATTCTCTCCTCAGTTCCAAATGATTTAAAAAGCCTCTATCAGTCTATCCCTTTTATGACAGCATCTACTGACTGGTCCAACAGCCTTCTGACCAAATGACTCTGAAATCTCTTCTTACACTTCATACTGCATACAGAGTCCAATCATGGACTTGCATTTAACTTATCCTGTAAAATTACAAAGATGCTATGTACTCATTGCTGTCCTCTTAGGATAGGTCATTTTCCTATGATTCTCTGTTTTCTTCACATTCCAGGACTGTTAGCAGTGCAGGGATGTGATGTCCTTGATGCTTGTGTGATTTCTTTTGAGAGTTTCCCTCACTTTGTTCCTTTGATTTACATTTCAATTGAAGTGCCTAGTCTAAGTTCTCATGGGAACATCGTTGCCTTTTCTTGCTGTTTTGTTCTTCTGTTAGTTTAATTTATTTGCCATTTTACCCACTACTTTTAATTGTTCTGCTTCTCACCCCCTTCCGTAATATTATTCACCCCTACAAGGCATATGTTTCTTGGATTAACACAAGGTAAAACAAAACACATGAACATGCATAGATATTCTTGGGATTACAAAACGGCAGTGTTCTGATGCAGTGAGTCTTATGTTGTACATTCTGATTGATTGAACTTGTGGACATGCAAGCTTGTTGAACATAAAGCAGGCTAGTACATTTACCTGCTTCATTGTGATGGCTGATACTTCACAGTTGATATATTTTTATCTATTTAGGTGCATGTAATCTCTTGGGTGATGTGAAAAACTACATAAAAATCCAATGTAAATGTGGGGACATGTTGTGGGGTCAAATCTGGGGAATTGTTCTCCTGTCCCAAAAAGAAACCAAACAAGGAAAACACATAGACATTGAACTTTGTTATTTTATGTTATTCTCTCTGCACTCCCCCTCCCTCCAACCTAATTTTTCTTTGCCCAACTCCCCTCCTGACCCCTAGCTAAAAAAAACAGGGTAACTGTGATTTGAACGTATGCTGCAAAGCAAAAGGTGCAATGTAAACTTAATTATTTATTTTAACTAGGATTTTACTTTCGCCACATTGTCAAAGGATTTTGTAGAAGTATGTGAATATATTATGTTTCATGATAAAATTATGTAATATTATGTTTCATGATAAAAATAGTTTAAAGCTGGCATTTGACAGAGCCATTGAAAACAGTTACATGTTTGATTGTCAACCCAAGTCTGTCGTGTGTACTTCCTTCTTACCAATTCCAAGCTGCTTTGGATGAGTGCTTATGGCAAGAGGCTTAATAGAAGATGACAACAGTTGCCGCAAAGAGTAGTTTGAAAATAAAAGGAGGTACTGTGATTAAAAGAAAGAAAAATGAACAATGAAATCATAGGGGCAACATTTGGCCCAAGCTATTTCTGGGTATAGAACTGATGACTGCCTCCAACTTTCTCCCAGGCGTGGAAGGCCTCGTTGTAATAATTATCGTTGAGCGACTGCCATCTTTCATGCCTCCACAAATAGCTCATCTGTATAGCAAAATGGAATTTGGGCAGCAGCCCTCATATGAATCTGAAAGCGGATAAAATACAGAATAAGAATGAGAGGTGGTTGCAATTGTAAATTGGCATCAGCCTGCAGTCATATGTGGAGCTGAGAGTTGAGTTCCTTTTATCATTGCTCCATGTGTAAATGAAGTATTTTCCTATGGCCCCTGATTAAGCTACTGCAAATTCCTGAAAACCTGAGTGGAGCAAGCTGGTATTGGTTCTACTAACATACAAAAATTTTTTTCCAAGATGTGCTTAAGCAGGCATAAAATGCTTGAAATACTCAGCACATCTGACAGTGTCTCAGAAGAGAATGATTAAACAAAATTTTGGTATTTATTATAATGTACAGAGAATTAATGGCTGTTAAAGGTAGTGTTGAGGATTGCCTTAAAAACACCCTGATGCAATTACTAGTCATCCAATGCATATATAGATCTGACATGGGCCACCACAATGTTAACATTTACCAATGCATTTGTAAATGAGGGATAGCTATGTTGAAATTCTTCTCTGATGAAACATTTTCTGTAACTATGTTGAGTTAGCTGAACTATTTCAAAAGGAGATTAGAAAATTGTAACTGAACAAGATATAATCAAATAAAATTATTTTGCATATCTTAAGAGAAGGATAATGTACTCAATAATGCAATGCATAATTTACATTTTAGGATCAGAGTGGCTTGTCACAGACTTATAAATCACCACATCTTTACAAATCTGATCCTCGTGTTCATTATTCTTAGCAGCATTTCCTTAGCTGCAGAAGATCCTATACGTAATCATTCCTTTCGTAATAATGTAAGTAGATGACATACAATTGTATTCTATTTTAAATTGTTACATTTGCAGTTTTTCAAAATGTTGATTTTTTCCAATGTACATGTAAGCCAGTGATTTTACTTAAAAGTTAATCTCATATGGTAAAAGTTGGGAACATTGTACACTTGTAGTCAACACAGGGGAGTTGTGTAATTCCTTAATGATGCTGAATTTGCCTCTTCAATAATAACCACACCATAGTGCATTCAAGAGGAGAGAGAACAAAGATTGTCACAAAGAAAATAAAAATACTCACAGAGGGAAGTTATTATATTATGTAGTAATTATTCCCTTTTTAAATTCAGGGCTATTTGCACATGTCCATTTTAAGAGTAATGTTGGTGACATTTCTGGTGCATGACAACTGAAAGTTGCTGATTTGGATTTTCCCCTTACTTTGCATAGATTGAATCGGCGTGTTTAAATTACTTGTGCATGACCAGCCCCAAAAATTGCCTTTTATCACCAAGGGACAAGGAGATCAGGTCTGCTATGGTGAGGCTAGGAATAGGTTTCCTTAAGGCAAAGTTGGAGGCAGGCCAAGAACTGAAAGTGCGGAGACATGAAGTGCGAAGTGATTTTTTTTCTCTTGAATGGCTAGCTGCAGTGTTCAAGAGAGTAATCTTCCACTCTGGGATATTTTTGGATAATTGAACAGAGCTAGCATCCCCAGTGGGAATTGAGTAGTATAAGTAACCACAACTGGGTACAGAACTCACATTTCTGCAAGTGCAAAGAACTTGGACTCTGGACGAATATAGGACCTGATACAGCTAGAGCTTCTAATGCTGTTTGGAGCTAGTTCTGGAGATTCAATCATGTAATCTTAAGCATGCCACATCTAAACACATGCTGCTGATTTCATTGCATCTGATAATGTGACACTTGCCACAGTTGCTAAAATGAATGTGTTTATAAATGCTGGGCCCCTATTGTTGGGTATTTTTACTTATGGTTTTGCACTCGCAGCTGATCTACAAGAAGCACTGGGAACAAGTAGACCACCCTTTGAGCAAGTAAACAAAAACACAAGCACAAACCACAGATGTGAATGCAAAGTGTGAACTCTGTGTTTCTTTCAATGTCTAGAAATAGTGCCTGGGAAATACATCTTTGATTTCTGGAACCTCTGGGAAGGTTGGCAAACTGTCTGTAAACTTGATCTTTATCCCCTGGCCTATGATAGAGGGAAAAAAGAAAGCACCCAGAATACTTGCTACTGATTGATATCCAGGAACCCTAAGATGGAAAGTAAAAATAAATAAGAAAACCTTAATTTACTCAACTTCCACAACTTCAGGATGTATCAAAGTGCTTTACAGCCAATTAAATACTTTCAGAATGCAGTCTATTATACTTTAAAGAAATGTTGTAGCCAATTTACCCAAAGCAAGCCATCATGAAAAACAACATGATAATGACCAGATAATTTGATTCTTTAATGAAACCAATTTGAAGGAAAAGTATTGGTCATGACAGTAGAGACAACCTCACTTCCTCTTTAGAACATTGCCCTGGGATCTTTTACTTCCATCTAAAAGTGCAGATGAGGCCTTGGTTTAATGTCTTATCTGAAAGAAAGCACCTCTGATGATGGCACACTATTTCAGTACTGCATTGGAGTGCCAGCCTAAATTTTTGTGCTAAAGTGTCTGAGATTGGCCATGAGGCTCACAATTTTCTGATCCTGACAAGGCTGGTGCCAACTCTGTCACAGCTGACAACATATACTTGATTTTCAGTCAGTTGAAAATAGGGGGTTCTGGTCTGGCATGACACATGAGTGTCACAATGTCTCTGATCCAGAAAAAAATTCAACTCCAATTAGGTACATGTCAACCACCTTGAAGAACTTACTTTTGGGCTGGGGAGAGCCCAAAGGCGATTTTGGCAATCTGCAATTTCAAAGTCAAATAGTCTAGTGTACATTAATGCATAGCTGTTTGGTGTAATATGTGAAGTGGTAAAGCCATGTCTATGCAGTAGAATTTTTTTTGATAAAAAGTTACTCTGAAAGAACAGGCCGGTTACCATTATGTTGACCATTTGACCATTGCCTGTGCCTTGAGACTCCTCTTTTCTACAAGGCAACAGCAAAGCCAGACTTGGCCACTCTACCTTTTTGAGAGTTGTGTTCCCAAGTCAGATCCTACCTCCTGGCCTGACACAGCACCACTAACTGGGGGATTGGCATCTGAAGATTGTGTTTATCAGTGTTTTCTAATTTATATCTAAGCACCTTGTCTAAATGTCATTGTTATTTTCTTCAAAATAAAGGAGGTTTGTTAATGTTACAAATGCAGGTCTGTTTAAAAGTCAAATAGAACAGCTCTAGAGTTGATTGAGACCAGGTGATGGGACTCTTGCAATGCAATGGCAGTGTCCCTATCTCTGGACCAGGAGGCATGTGTTCAAATCCCAATTGCTCCAGAGGTAACATCTCTGAATATGTTTGATTAAGGAAAAAAAGAGCTGGGTTCCACAAGTCAAAGAGCCTGCTCCTGGACCTAGCCAAAGTTGCTATCTTTGGCTAGCAGGCTGTGGAGAGGGTCATAGCTCTTGACTACTTACCCCTTTCCTGCAGCTACGTTCGTGCCCAGGTGCTCTGAGAGAGGGAACACATTGTGTCCACCAGCACGTTTAAGGTCTTTAGACAGAGGTACGCAGTTGGAGTGTATTATTTTCCCCTTCCAACTCTATATTTTAATTTAATCCTCGTGGTCTTTTCCAATCCTCCTCTATTTTGTTATTTTGGAACTGCCCTTGGTGGGTAGTGCTTATTAATTGGTATTTTAGTTAGTGACAAGGGTGATTTTGACTTGCACAAAAATTGATGTATTCATTAAATAACTAATTAGATGTAATGAAAAGATGAATTTATATTTTTATTATTTTCTTCATTATAAAAATATTAGTAGAATTATGGATTTGCAGAATTATGTACATATGACAAGTCAGTTTCCTTTTAGAGCTGCGGAGTCATTTGAGGCAATTAGTGTACCTGTTCTGATGAAAAAAGGTTGTGCAACATTTATATAGCAAGGGCTCTGGAAATCTGTATATTAATTCCCTATTACATTGGTGACTTACTTCCAAATTGTTCTGAATATTTATATTCTGCCTTTACAGATTCTTGGTTACTTTGACTATGCTTTTACAGCGATCTTTACTGTTGAAATCCTGTTCAAGGTAATATGCTGTTTGCTCAATGCCTTAATGAAAGTCTACTATAAAACAAAATGGTTAAACTATTTGCTTACTTTACAGATCCTAGGTTATGCAGATTATGTCTTCACTAGTATGTTTACATTTGAAATCGTGTTAAAGGTAACAAAGGTCCAACATTGCTGTGTGTGATAACTGATGGATTTATTCCTTCTTGGCACCAAAATTGCACAATAGGTGACTGCATGGTGCACCTATTCTGGACATTTTTTTCCACTGAATGACACACCTAATCCACTATGAACTCTTAACACTGGACAGTGTAGATCATGTTGTTGTGGTTCTCTTTATCTTTATATTTTAATAGACGTCTGCAGGCTGAAGGCAAACAAGGTAATCATGCATGTCATTTTCTAAACTCTGTCTCTTGAGCACAATAACTCTCATTTAATTGCATAACAAATCATGTAAGAAAATTTCATTCAATTGGCAGTGTCAAGAAGAAATATCAAGAATCAATTTTGAGTCAAACATTCAAATTTCAGTATTTGACTTAATGTTTTTGTAAGAAGGTAAAGATAATTGATTTGGATATCAAGAATAAAGCTTTAATTCTTTTGGTTTTACTACGTATTACTTCTATTTGCTATCATTGTCCTGTCTGTAAAACCAACATTTGCTATAAGCACCAGTTTTACACACAAACACTTCAAGAGCTTAGTCAAAGGGCAGTCCCTGAGTTATACACTCTTGCGGTTGTTCATCTGTACAGGGAACCTAGACCTCTCTTTGTGTGCTCAAATGCATGTAGAGGACTTAAATTACTGATGCTAATTTTTTTTAACATTTCAATTTCGTAATTTAAGAAACTGACAGCACGTCCACTAAACAATATAGAACTTTAAAACTTATTATTTTAGAAGTTGATTTTCACTGGATATAGCTAAAATATTTGAATTTGAGGTCATGCGTACTTGTTGAGCTGATCTCAGTCTGTTTCTGGTGACTGTCACGATATAATTTGATATTAATTGAATTAAGCCACAGATTTTATGTTTCCACAAGAAAACCATATAAATTGATGGCATGCCTGCAATGTAATCAGATAACTTCCATTGTTATTGATCAGGTAATGACACTAAACTGATGTAAAATATGCAAATAAACTTGCAAAGACCAGACTGACAACTTAAAACTTCATAGAGGAAGAATTCTCTTTCTTGAAATATTCAGCTAATATCAAAGGGGAAAGTATTGGCACTGCACTGTTTTATATTATAAGAATGATAAAATTATTAATTGTTGTGCAATTAAATGGGAGATGCTTTATGCAACTAACATCAACTCTCAGATGCATGATGAAGGTATCTATATACCTTACTCTGACTGTTTCCATTAAGTAGAGTGATATTGGCACAGGAGGAGGCCAGCTGGCATGCTCTCTGTGGAGCAATCTAAACGAATCAAATCAATCCCATTGTCTGGCTCTATCTCAATAACCTGATAAGTTTTTCACTCAAATGCAGATCCAATTTCCTTTCGAAATAATTCATCATTTCTGCTTCCACTACTCTTGTAGGCAGTGAGTTCCAATTCGTTATTTTTTGTTTGATTAGTTAAGAAGGACAGTTTTTCTACCTTTATTTTACCTAAACTAGTCATAATCTTTATACCTCTATCAAATCTCCCCATTATCACTTTTACTCCAAGAAGAACAATGCCAGCTTGTCCAATCTAACCCTGTAGCTCACATCCCTCATCCATGGAACCATTCTGGTAAATCTTCTTTGTACCCTCTCAAGAACTCTCACCTGCTTCCAATAGTGTGGTGATTAGAACTGGACCTTAGTTGTGACCTAATCTGAGCTTTATAAACATTCAGCATAACTTCCCTGTTTTTGTGCCCAATTGATGAAGTCCTCTATTCGTGGAATCTCAAGAATCTATATGTTTTGTCGATGACTCCCTACTGCCTTGAAAGACCATGAATCATCCATCTTCGCACTGTACCATTTAGTTTATGTTACTTTTCCCTATCCAGATCTCCGTACACATATGTTACATTCCATTTGCCTCTTGTCTACCCATTCTGCTAGCCTGTCTATGTTTTGTTCCAATCAATTGGTGTCATCCTTTTTGTCTATCACATCTCCAAGTGCAATGTGATCAGCAAATATTGAAATTTTACTCAGAATTTCAATCCCCTAGCCATTTATATCTCAAAAAGAATCATGTGGTCTTTGCACTGACTCTTGGTGAGGATCATTTTTTATAATCTTCCAGTTTGAAAAAAACAGTTTGCCAAGTCTCACTGTTTTCTACCAATAAACCAAATTTCTCATCCTAGCTAACATTGACCCTTCTGGTCCATAACTCCCAATTTCGTTATGGTTTTTGTACGTGATAGTTTGTCAAAATCTCTCTTAAAATCCAAACAGACAGGGTTATTTGTTTCTCCTTCATTGTATTCTCTATTACTTTATCAACAAATTTAGTTAGATTTGTCAAACATGATAATTAGATTTCACTGAAATGCCTAAATTAATGCAATTGATTACATGCCCCTGAAGAAAGAACATTTATTAAGCTAAATGTTTATAACATTAAATTTGTATAGTTGAAGAAAAATATCTCTGAAAAACCATTTATTCTTGGCACAAATTCCATTGACCAAATCATATTCCTAGGTTCACTAACTGAACAGGAGCCAAACCAGGTCCTGTGTTTCATTCCACAAACCATAAAACCACACACTCTAGGAATAGAAGTTGGCCATTTTGCCCATCAATACTACTCCATCATTCAATGAGACCATGCTTGATCTTCCATGTTTCAATAGGATTACCTCTGATTCTTGTAAACTCCAATAAGTACAGACACAACCTAATCAACTTCTACTTATAATTCAGTCCCTCCACCTGGGATCAACCTTGTGAACTTTCTCTGGACTGTCTCCACTGCCAATACATCTTTCTGCAGATAAGGGAACCAAACCATTCACAGTATTCTAGCTGGGGTCTGATTAGTGCCTTGTATAGTTTTAGCAAGACCTGCCTTTGAAATAAATGCCAATGTTCCATTTGCCTTTCCTCTTACCTGCTGAACTTAAATACTAGCTTTTCATAATTTTATGCACAAGGATTGCCAAATCCCTCAAACTTGTAGTTTCGTTCAGGTTTTTTTCCGTTTAAATAATATTTGTCTTCTCATTGGGTAAACTTGAAGAACAAGCCCATTTTGTCCCTTAGTGTCACAGTAACTTACTCTGAATTTCATATTCAATTCATTTTCCAAACTCTGAACACTGTTGTGACAAACTGTAGATCTTACTGAGGATATAGATCATTTTAAAACAAAATTAATGAATGCTTAACAGCATGGGCACAGTTCCCAAATTTTTCAGAATGCCACTGTCCCCATTATCCTCTTACAGCTCAATAATAAACATTTTTCGCATTTCCTTGTGTGAGCACTATGGCTAAATTTAAATATGGTCATATTCTTGATAATGCATTAGGGCCATATTGACCAGGCTACAAAAGTCACAGTCCTAAAATGTAGATTTTCTACTTCCAGTATTTTTTAAATTTCAACAGTTTATTCCAAATCAAGTAAAATTGCAAGAGGAAGGTCTTGAAAATGCTAGAACTATGAATTAAAAACTGAAAAAGCTGGAGTAATGACTTCAAACCTGAAACATTCCATCAATTTTTCTCTTCACCTGTGCTGCCAGACTCGCTGAGTATTTCCAGCAAGTTTCTATTTATTGATAACTAAGTTTATTGCAAATGCTAACTAGGGATTTACCATTCTCTTTAATTAAGTCACCACATCTGCACTAATATGGCCAACGACTCATGTCAGGCTTGTGAAAGTAGCACAAGCCTTGATCTGGAAATGATCCTGGTCTCCTATTTAACCAAGATAAGTGTTACTGACTAATAGCTACTTTAAATGTATCTGAAAATAAATGTAAAATCTAAGGTGTTCTTGTTGTAGGGGATCTGAATAAATTGCTTATCATTACAGCATATAATGCTTAAATCAGCTAAATGGTGTTGAAGCTATTTAATCACAAAATGTACAGCTGTTGAAGAGTAAATTTTGCAAAAGATCTTTAAGATGTGTGATTTGAAATTCAATTTTAATTGGAATGGGCTTGGGGGAGAGGGGACATGGAGGAGTTGGAGGTGCAACAGTCATAAAACCCAGAATAATTAGATTTCAGAAGTTGTGCTGTTAGGATTTAAATTTTGAACTAAATTTCTTGAGCAGATTTTAATTGGATTGAAAATGGGCTAGATAGGAAGGCCTGTAGCATCAGTGAACAGTCAGAAAGTATTGTTTAAAAAAGAAAGCAAGATTGCAGCTATGGGGGTTTAGGGTGGCTGTGGCAGAGGTTATTTCTGTGTATAAATTGCTGGGAGATCAGGATGATGCAGGATGGACCACGAGCAGGATGAGGAAGGGAAAGACAAGTTGTGGATTATTCATAGGCTTCAGGAGTGAGAAGATGGGAGAAATCCATGGATATGGTGCCTGGTTGTAGGGAGTGTGAAATAGTTTGATTAAGGAGGCCATGAGGAAAGACTTCTGCTCCTCCATGCCCATAATCAGTGCTAGAAAGATAGATATCTCTTGATTCTGGCTGTTCTTGCCTATTTGAGGCCTAGTGTTTCCCAGGCCCAGGGAATCCCAGCCTGCAGCAATTAAGTTCAATGCATTTTAATTTCTCTTTAAAATATCACAAGTAGGATATCAGTTCCGGCGTGTAAGTTTGTTATCCACTCTGATTTAAACTGCAAGTGAAGGTGGGTTGGGATTAGATTTCTCACTTTTGAATTACCAATCCACTCCACTCTTGCATGTTTTATACAATTAAAGTTCTTCTCATTATGTACTTTCCAATTTGCTGAAAATTAATATTATAATTAATGAATCTATAAAATTTGTTCTTACATTATTTCAACTGGCATATTCAACAACATGTTAAAAGAAAAGAGCTACCAAAGAAGAAAGATATTTGCTGGACCATAGGGCTCCCTCATTACAGAGAGATGGTTGGTAGTGGCTTATCCTGAGGGTCATGATGCCTCAGGTGAGGGGAAAGGTTGAGAAGCAGAGCCCTTCATGATAACCTCAGCTGGTGCAGGAGTTGAACTCATGCAGTTGATGTTACTCCGCAGCACAAAGCAGATGTCCAGCCATCTGAGCTAACTGACCCCCCCCCACAAAGTAAATGTCACAAGGTATATTGCATTAGCGTTCTGAGACAACATTTGACATTGACCACATCAGGAGATATTTAAGGTGAGTGGCTGATAAAATACATAGGGATTAAGGAACATCATATAGATGAGGAGAAAGGCCGAGAGGTTTAGGTAAGAATTCCAGAACGTATGGTTTGGCCAATTGACAATATGGGCCTGAATGGAAGAGCTGGAAAATTGGGATTCAGCATTTCTGGTCCTCAGTTGCCAGTGTCTTTTTTTTTATGTATTGCATTCGAAACAAAACAAATTGTTATACTGGTGAGGGACAGTTAATGAACAGTATTTGACAGATATTGCAACCATTTAAACTACTTATTTCCATTTTATACCTTTCCATGCTTTACTTTTTTAGATGATGACATATGGAGCATTTTTACATAAAGGTTCCTTCTGTCGAAATTATTTCAACTTGTTGGACATCCTAGTTGTGGGAGTGTCACTTATTTCTTTTGGAATTCAGTAAGTATCTGCTTTTATTAAATGAACATCTACAATTTTAGAATACCCTGACTTTATGTATATTAGACAAAAGTGCAATGGTCTATTTTTCCTTTTCACTGGATATTTCTTATCATGAGCCAAAACCAGTGGATTGATGTATTGGCTAATTTCTTACAGCTTTGGATAACTAATAAGTAAACCAAGTTAAAATTTATCAGTTCACTGGCCTTTATAAAATACAATAAAGGAATGATATGTAATATGGATATTAATAGAAACCTGGTCTTTCAGTCTTGAAAGCTAATATAATTAGTGCACTTGACAAAACTCTATGAATAACATGAATGATGATCGAATCATAGATTAGTTATATAACTGGAATAGGTCATTTGACTATCATTTCTTTGTTGGCTCTCGGCAAAAGTAATGCAGTTCATCTCGCTTCCTGTCCTTTTTCAACACCCTGCAAATTTTTCTGTTCAGATTTTTAACTACTGTCCTTTTGAAAATTTCACTTTGCTCTGAGCACATTCTCCGGCAATGATCCCTTCAGATTGAGTTGCAACATCCAGCCGTACATGGTGGTACACAGTAAACAGAGCATGAACATACAACCATATGAACGAGGAACAAAAATAGGCCACTTGGCCCTTCAAGCCTATTTTGTAATAAGCTAATAAGATTACAACTGATCTGATTTTAATTTCAACCGTACACTCCTGCATACCTCCAATAATCTTCCATCATCTTGGTAAGCAAAAATTCTATGTACTTCTGCCATAAAAATATTTAAAGTTTCTGCATCCACTGCCTTTAGATAAAGGGAATTCCAAAGACACTCAATCCTTTGAGAGGAAAAAAAAAGTGTTTCCTCATCTCTGCTTAAATGAATGCCTATTTATTCTTGAACTCTGACCCTTACAAGTAGATTCTCCTACAAAAGGAACTATGCTTTCATCATCCACCCAGTCAACTTTCTTCAGGATTTTGTATGTTTCAATTAAGTCACCTCTGTGTAGTGATTGGAATGAGGGCCAGGTGGATTCTCATTGAGTATGAAATCCTTGATTGTCCCAGGTTAACAGGCCCAATCAGGGAGAACTGGCTGACATACAAACAGGAGATTCAGACCCATCTCACTTTAGGGCCTGGCTCTGACTTAGTTGGTCAGAGTTGGTGAACTGTGCACATGTAAATAAAGGGTGACTTTGTGACGGGATACAGGCCTCGCTGTATTTATTTCACTCTGACACACCTAAGCACTAGAAGATACAGGCCAGACCTGTGTAGCCTTTGCTCGTATGGCAATACATTCATTCCAGGTATTAGCCTAGTAAACCTTCTCTGGACTGTTTCCAATGCATTATCATTCTTCTATAAGTAATTGATCAGTACTGTACGCAGTACTGCAAATGTGGTCTGTGCACAGTACACCAGAGGAGGCTGCTCCAAAGTATCTGCATCTTCAAGGATGGCCCTAAACTCATTGCAATGAAATTCTGCATTGTTATTCAATTACTTTTTTCCTGGAAAAACCATGATTTTTCATTAATAAAACAAGTTTACACTGACTGGACAACTGGTCAGTAAACGATGACAGTTGACGTCAGAGCTAAGTCTACACTTTCTGAGATCCAGAATGCCATTGACAGTGTTCATATGGTCTCCATGTTCTCCTTGGAGAGACTAAGTATTTTGTGAACTTTGTCGTCTTTGCACAAGTCCTCTTAGAACACTTCAATTGGATCATATAGGGGTGTGTGAGGATTCTGTGAAACTTCATAGAATCCCTACAGTGTGGAAACAGACCCTTTGGCCCAACAAGTCCACACTAACCTTCAGAGCGTCCCACCCAGACCCATTACCCTATACCCCACGTCCCAGAACACTATGGGCGATTTAGCATAGCCAATCCACCTAGCCTGCACATCTTTGGACTGTGGGAGGAAACCCATGCAGACACAGGGAGCATGTGCAAACTCCACACAGACAGTCACCTGAGGCTGGAATTGAATCTGGGCCCCTGGCGGTGTGTGGGAGCAGTGCTAACCACTGAGCCACTGTGCCGCCCTGCCATTACACCCATCTCCTTGTATAGTCCCAATTTGGAGTTCAAGGGATATCCACAGTCTTGACTTATAAACCCTTTACGCAACTCCAACAAACGGGCAGTTTTTGGAAATAACTGCAAGGGCCACCTTCAGTGAAGTTTTTACAGATAAAGGATTTGGATGAGCCTTGCAATATGCAATCTCTCAAGTAGAGGTCACCAGTCTGTTTTTAATGGAGATCATTTTTGAAACCTTTGTCCAAAACAAAACCTGTCAGGAGCTCCTTGAATAACTTTTCAGTAATTCTGAAGCAAATATTTGGAAGATCACCCAGTGTCTCAATTTTTATGTAAGTATGCAAGAAGAAAATTGATATATTGTATGTAAGTACCAGTAGAAATACAATCAAAATTACAACAGACCTTATCCTGAATTTTTGCACTTTTTAAAATTTGTTTTAAACTATGTTTGTCAGCAAAGTCATTTTTGTGACAAGCTGTGAGATAAAATCCTTTAATTTAAGTAACTTATTAAGGTATTGATGCTCATGATTAAAATCTGCTGGAGAGAAATGCTTTAATTGAAATGTTCTTTCAACCATTCCCTTGTGCTGCCTCTTGATTATAAGTGTCACGTGGCTTAAAGGTCCAAGTAGTTGTCACAGACTGCACATTGAGCAGAGATCTTTTTGCTCTCCTCTGTGGTGAATTGGTTGGGGGTGAGAGATTTAATCAGGCAGGAGGGTGGTAGGTAGGAACAGTGCCACTTACCCACCTTCTCCCTGATTAAATCCATGACAGAAAAGCCCAAGGATGGCCTTCCCATCCTTCAGTCAATTGAGGGAATTAATGCCTACTTAATGGCCTCATCCTTCCACCACTAGCATTCCACCACTCACCAGCACAGCATAACAGGTGGACCCTGATTTTTATTGCAGGTTACCAATGGGAGATGCCCTGTATTAAAGGGCAGTTAGTGTCTGATCAAGGGGAACTGTAATTGGTGACATAGAAGCCTACCACATGCCCCTATTGCTGATTCACCTCACCTGCTTTCCCCTGTGATCTCCATACTACTTGCTGCTCTCACTTATATATGCCAAGTTCCCAATCTTTGGTTGGGTGTTCTACTAGCACCAGCCACCACCTCGCTGATGGCCCTGTTAAGTACTGAGTTATAGAGTCTTAGAGATCTAAACCACAGAAAAAGACCCTTTATCCCATTGTGTCTGCACCTGTCAAAAACAACTATCTCACTATTCTAATCCTATTTTTCAGAACTCGGCCCTTAGCCTTGTATGCTTTGGTATCGCAAGCGCACATCTAAATCCTACTTATGTTACGGTCTCTGTCTCTATGACCCTTATGGACAGTAAGTTCCAGATTTCCACAACCCTCTGGGTGAAAAAAATTTCCCTCCCATCTCATCTTAGCCTTCTGCCCCATATCTTAAATCTATGGCCCCTGACATCAATCCCTCCATTAAGGGGAAAAGTTCCTTCCTGCCTACCCTGTTTATGTCCCTCATAATTTTATATATTTCAGTCATGTCTCCTCTCAATATCCTCTCCTGTAAGGAAGACGACCCCAATCTGTCCAACTCTCTCTTCATAAAGGAAGCTTCTGATGTTTGATTGGCTGGCAACTTTTGGTGGATTTGACTTCTGCCCTCAGAATCCCTTTAAAACCCAGCCCATCATTTATCCTAATCCCTCATTCTCCTTCAGTGTCAACTTGCGATGGAAGTCACTTCAAGGCCATTAAATTTCCTTTTGCAATGGATTCAGGTTCTTTCAAAAATGGTTGCTATATATCTGCCACTCCTAGCCATACCTAGGTGATTGCCTCCTCCTCCTGCTGTAATTACTTCCTGTCTCCTTTCTCTGCTTGTATAAGTATCCCCAGGAAGGCACCTTTGAATCGTAAAGCAAACCCTTGTTGTTCTTATGTCATCCCTTCACTTTGTTGACCTCCTTCTACCGCCCTGTCGTCAGCCTGCCATACTGCGATGTACACTTAAAATGGCTACTGTTGTCAAACTGCTGATACTCGGGCAAGCCCATCACTGTTAATTGGCTTGCTCCTTTGTCTTTAGGTTCTTTATCAGCTTAAGATAGCAAAATGCCATAGAATGTCTTGCTGCCCACCAATGTGTGATGTCAATCCACACCCAAGTGACATAGGATGTGCCAATATATTTATTTTGTTAATTTTTATTACTTAAATTCTGATTTGATTTAATTTAATTTATCATTTTCTCCATCTTATCAAACTTGCATACTTTCTACCATTTTGCCCATTCTTCCTCAGGGGTATGACCCTCCCTCTGTCAGAGGCAGCCCCCTCATACTCCCAAAATAGTATTTCTTCTTTAACACTACTCCCAGTCTGTGAAACCTGGTCTGTCACCCACACTTGAGGCCAAGAAATTGGACTTACCCACCGTCCAGCCTCTGTGGCCTCCTGTTTTTTTTTGTGTTCTACCTGTACTCTTAGCTACGGCCATTGCTTCAACCTAGCATTGCCAGACAACAGTGTTGCCGGTCATCTGATTAGCAGGCAACTCTCGAAGATGGGATTTCCTGCACAAATGTGGGTCAAAGCCTTGCAGAGATAGTTAATGCCCCACTGACTGTAAAATGGTTCCAAGGCATGACTTTTTCATGGCCAGGTTCCCAACCAAGATTTTATTTTGGGTTGAACCACAGCAGGAAACACAGCACCCTTTAAAACCCAGACCATCAGTTATCCTAATTTTTTATTATGTTTTTCAGTTCTAAAAAAAACTGATCTTCTTTTTCCTATCCAGTCCTTGACCGCGTCCTCTGTTTCCCATCTTCTCCTATTCTCTTTTTCCCTTATCACTCTGTCTGTATTCCTCTCGATCACTTACCATCTTTTGATTTCTGTCCTTTCCCTTGTTTTTTGCACTTCTTCATTCCTTCCTCCTTCTATACTCCATCCTTTTCCTCCTTCCTACCATCTGTTCCTCTTTTCGGACTTCCACTTTCACCATCATCAGCTCCTCTCCATTCTTTTTCCTGTCCCCACCCCATCCATCCTTGTTTCTTATTTTATAATAATTTTATAATAATTTTACAATCCTCCCTACTTTTTCTACCATCTCATCAAATTTCACTCACTCTTCCTCTATTACCATTATTTTGTTCCCTTCACTCCTTGTGATGTTCATTCCAAAAGCATTCGTGTTTTCTTTCACCTCCAAACTTGCTCTGACACCCTTAAAATCCTTTGATTCTCTTTGTCCACTGCAGATCTCTAACTGTTGACATTATATTCCACTTTTTCTCTCTTCTGTTCAGAGCCAGTTTCAACTTGCTTATCCCATTCTATCTAAATGTTCTTTCTGTATTCTTCTGTACCTTTCACTATTGTCCTCATCTTATCCCGACACTACTGAATCCGTAACTACCCAAATGCATGAATAATCAACTCATGTACAATCATCATCGTGGGTTTCTCTGCATCTGACTAATTTGTTGTTGCTTTTGAACAGTAATTGCATAACATTTGCATTTGTTTGCAAATTTGAGTGACACTTGTTAACTAATTAAGCAGGGTTTCATCTCTCTGTGCCATCCAATACGTACTGTGGAGAAGACATTTCTGGTTGCCATGTGCCCTACATATCAATCACAAGCTCTGCCTTTTTTTGGTAGGGTATTTAAAAGTGGTGTGACACCTGAACAGTATCATTAACCATGGTGACTATAGCAATTCTAACCCACTGGTTTCTAAATTAGCTAGCATCAAGAAACAAAGAATTTGTATTGATAAATCACATGTTCAGGATTTTGCAAAATTCTCCATAAAACAATGAAAATTAATGTTTTTTTTTCACACAGGTCTAGTGCTATTTCAGTCGTGAAGATCCTTCGTGTTCTGAGAGTGTTAAGGCCTCTTCGAGCAATCAACAGGGCAAAGGGACTCAAGGTCTATTTCACGATATTCTATGTATCGAATTTCTTCTGATCACAAGTTAGAATATGACTTTCAGTTCACGCTTCTTTATTTACTTTACAGCATGTTGTTCAATGTGTGTTTGTTGCTATTCGGACCATTGGCAACATCATGATTGTTACAACTCTTCTGCAGTTCATGTTTGCTTGTATTGGGGTGCAGCTATTCAAGGTAAATGCTAATCATACTTTATCAAGATTTTTCTTTCAATTTAGACTAAAGTTAAAAACTCTTCTATGCTAATTTGAAATGCCTTATATTTAAGGGCAAATTCTATCGTTGTACAGATGAAGCAAAACAACTCCCTGAAGAGTGCAAGTAAGAAAAGTAGAGAATGAAATTATTTTTGTGATGAAGTATTTGATTTTCATGATAATTTGCTTCATTTAGTCTACATAGTTATTGACATATTGTGAAGGCAGTGGAAAGATACAGTAAAGCTATTAAACTTCTTTATTTTTTGTAACGCTTTAAAATCCTACTCTTTTACACTAGTTCTGCAGTTTTTCTCATAACTTACTTCCTGCAGCAATGTTACACTGAGAAGGCTGGTAAACAAATGCACTGTTTAAGCATGGCTCAGTGATTTTTCCTTTTAGATGTTTCCTGTTTGTTTGGAAAGACCATGGTTAGCTGAAACATTTCCACAGATTTGTGGAAATTTGCATGGAATAGCATGCAAATAGTGTTTTGTTGTGTCAGTATTCGAATGTACTGCCATTTTATATTATTTCGGCTGCAAAGCTGGACTTTATTTTCGTCAAGTCTGTGGAAAATGCTTTTGGACGCTGATACACCAATATAAGATTTACATTAAGTAAATATGTGTTAGGTTAAAATGAATTATTTACAAGAGAACTTCATATTTTAATTCTTACCGTTTTTCCTTTTATAAAGGGGAACTTATATTCTTTATAAAGATGGCGAAGTAGATCATCCTGTAATTCGTGATCGAGTTTGGCACAATAGCGATTACAATTTTGACAATGTCCTTGCAGCTATGATGGCATTGTTTACAGTATCAACCTTTGAAGGCTGGCCAGCGTAAGCATATGTTTCATTTTTCCAGCAACTGCTGGAAATATTGATCACTAGATGTAATTTGTTTTTGAACAACTTTATATTTGACACAAATGTTATTCAGATTAACAGTGATTATTTCATTTACCACAAAGGTCTTTTGTTCTTACAACTTTAGTGTTGATGTCAAGCAGAAGAGGTAACTTTAATCTAATTTGCCTCTGATTCATTGGTTCTTAACACTCAATGTACATTTCACAAGTTTAGTAGTTATCTGAAGGTGAAGTCACTTTGCACTAATGTTAAGCTTAGAGTGTAAATGCATCTTTATTCATGTCAATAGAATGTACTTAATGGCTCAGAAAAGTAGGCTATGTAGATGTGAATTTAAACTATTTGGAAAGGAACTGCTTTAATTGCTATGCATAGTGACGTTGTAAAGACATGGAAAAAATCTTATTTATATCATCATGCAATTAGGGCAGTTACAGTTGTTCCCCCTTAGACACTTATACTTGTAACTGTGTTAATATTCTGTTTCGTCCACTTTGTCCTTTTTTCAGCCTGCTATACAAAGCCATAGACTCAAACGGAGAAAATATTGGCCCCATCTACAACAATCGAGTGGAGATTTCTATATTCTTTATCATCTACATCATTATTATTGCTTTCTTCATGATGAATATCTTTGTTGGTTTTGTGATCGTCACATTCCAGGAGCAGGGAGAACTGGAGTATAAAAACTGCGAGTTGGACAAAAATCAGGTTAGAAATTGCATAAAATGACAGTTTAAACATCAGTTTCTCATGAGAAATATATTGATTTGGTTCACTGAAGCTTGGCATGCATTGTACTTTCTGACTGCAATGAATGTGCATTTCAACTGAAAGTTTGTTGTTGGTATGAAATTATTTCTGCTTTACAGTAATGCTTAGCTGATAGTATAATTGGGGCTCAATCTAGAGTTGCTAGCTTGGGTAAGTTGCTGGCTAGAGGGAAGGCAGTTCATTTAGTTGCTGTTCTATAACTCTGTAAGAATTCAAAAAGGCACCTGCAGAATTTTGGAAACAAAGCATTATCTCGCCTTTAGGTCAAGTAATGATGCTAAGCGTTGCACAAAGTTGAAATATTAATTCAGAAGAAACAAATACCAAAATCAAATTGGGTCAAAATTCAGAATAATATTAAAAAGGCATGATTAAAATAAATCTATCTGTATGCATAAGCCATTCATGACAGGATAGGTGAATTGATGGCACAAATAGAAGTAATCAAGTATGATCTGATTGCTGTATGGAGACATAGCCTCAGCGTGACCAAAACTGGACTGGATACTCAAGGATATTTAACATCTAATAGGAAAGAAAGGAAAATTAAATGGGATAGTGTTAGTAATAAAGGGTAGGATTAGTATATTAGTGAGAAGGAATCTTAGATCTCAGAGTTATAGAATCTGTTTGGTTGGAACTAACAAACAATAGCTGGCAACAAAAATTCATAGCAGCATCAAATATTAGTGGTAACATACATCACAGAATAAATCAGGGGTCATGTATTAAATGTGGACATAATATAGTAATGGGTGATGTACAGACTGAGTAAACCTCATGGGTGCTAATGTCATGGAGCATGAATTCCTGGTGTTTACACAAGATGATGAATAACAGTGCTAAACATTGGGGAAAAACTGAACTTTTGATTCAACGAAACTAAATGCCAACATCAAATAGATGGTGTCTAAGCATAGCGTGTTGAGAAACAAACAAGGGAACAGGCAATTTTAGATCTAATATCATGTATTCAGAGCCAGTTAGTAATCTTGTGAATGAACTTTTAGAGAGGAGTGACCATAGTATTATAGCTTTTAACTTTAAAAGAATATTCTATGTATCTCAATCCAAAACTAAGGTCTAAATCTAAAGAAAGGAACTATGAAGGCATGAAGAGCAAGCTGCTGTGGTAAACTAAGGAAACGCATGAATATGTGAGATGGTACTCGGGCACTGGCTATTTTCATAATATATCATCATTCACAACAAGACTACAAAAACCAGGCTGTTAAAACAGCTATAGTATTTAAAAATGAAAAGGTTAGCAAATACAAATGTAGATCCATTATAGGACAGTAGATTTTTAATGGGAACCTGGGAAATGCCATAGAAGCTGAAAAAAAGTTACTTTTACACTGTCTTCACAGAGAAAGGTACAAGAAAACTCCCAGAAATAAAAATGTCCTAACGTTCTTTTCAGAATAAGGAACCAAAAGAAATTGATATTAATAAAAAATCTATTATGAATTTAAACAGGATTGAAGATCGATCAATCCCTGGGACCTATTGACCAACATCCCAGAGTATTAAAAAAAGGTAGCCTCGGAGTTAATGGATGATTGTCTTGAAAATTCCATAGATTCTTGAATGTATTTGTAGATTGCAGAGAAGAGAGAGAACGAAAACGTTACTTTAAACATGTTAGTCAAATGTCAGTAGTGGGAAAACTAAAGGAATCAATTATAAAAGCATGTGATAACTGGGCATGTTCTGGTTGGGCAGAGTGAGCATGGATTTACAAAGAAAAAGTCCCGTTTGACACATCTGTTGAAGTTTTTTGAGGATGTTATTAGTAAAATAAGAGGTAACATGTAGATGTGTTCTGCTCCTTCCATTCTTGTATTCCAGTGACGGGAATTCAAATAAAATTACCTGAGCCTTTGTATTTATATGAAATATATTTCATGTGAAACAGTTAGTTAATTTTTGCTTGGGGCTTATGAGCTTTCCTGATTCCAATGTTACTGTTTTGGTGTTTAGAGTTTTAATATTACAAGTAGTAGATTACAGAGCCCTGCTGAGAGTGAAGGCTGGAGCAAGGTGTAATAGAACAATTTAATCAGATAATACAGAATTTGACTGTATTCTGTATTAATCTGTCAGCAGATAAGTGTAAGGAAAATATCATTTAATATAAAGTTGTTCCTGACTGCCAAATTCATTTACCAAAGAAAAATCAGTCTCTATTTGTGCATGAAGAAAATCACGATTTGTTCTCTACTAGATTGCCAGCAAATTATCCTTTTCTCAGTGCAGCCCAGAAAGCAGCAGGGGAGAGTAATTCGTGCCTAGGGCATACATTCAACAGATGCAAGATGTAACTGATTGCATCATCCACAAACTAAGCAGTTCTTGTGGTGGAGTGGTAGTGTCCTTACTACTTCATAAACTTGGCTTCTGTGCACATTACAAAGGTTTCATGGGATAAATGTGTCGCTGCATTGCGGTTACTGTGACTCTGTACATGGTATGCTGGTAGAAGTTGTGATATTGTCACCACCCAGTAATCCACCAACCTTGCAGTATTTGACACAACATCAGGTCAAGGGTTGGTTACTCAGCTGTGCCATACCTCCTGTCAGGAACCTGCATACAGGTGCTGAGCAATCAACCAGAACTATGACTGAGTAACCAATTAGAGTGCCCAGGCAAAGATTCCTCTGCTAATGTAACACCTTTATTTAGAAAAGGGAAGGAGACAAAAAATGGGTAACTACAGGCAAGTTATTTTAATGTCTATTAGTTGGGAAATGTTGTAAAGGATACAAACACAGTATATTTAGAAATGTAAAAATGGTCAAGCAGAGTCAGCATGGCTTCATGAGGGGTAATTATGCCTGACAAATTCACTAGAACTCTAAGGACATAGGTAGGATAGATAAAGGGATGAAATATATTTGCATTTTCAGAAGGCGTTTGACAAGGTACCACTTATTAGGTTATTTCATCAGAAAGGTGTTGGAGGTAGTATATTAACTTTCTATTCTATTCATTTGTGGGAATTGGGCGTCGCTGGCTAGCCAGCATTTCTTGCCCATCCCTAGTTGCCCTTGAGAAGGTGGTGGTGAGCTGCCTTCTTGAACCGCTGCAGTCCTCCTGCTGTGGGTTGACCCACAATGCTATTAGGGAGGGAATTCCAGGATTTTGACCCAGCGACAGTGAAGGAACAGCGATATATTTCCACGTCAGGATGGTGGGTGACTTGGAGGGGAACTTGAAGGTGGTGGTGTTCCCATATGTCTGATGCCCTTCTCCTTCTAGGTGGAGGTGGTTGTGGGTTTGGAAGGTGCTGTTTGAGGATCTTTGGTGAATTTCTGCAGTGCATCTTGTAGATAGTAACACTGCTGCTACTGGGTGTCGGTGGTCGAGGGAATGAATGCTTGTGGATGTCGTGCCAATCAAGCGGGCTGCTTTGACTGGATGGTGTGAAGCTTCTTGAGTGTTGTTTGGGCTACACTCATTCAGGCAAGTGGGGAGTATTCCATCACACTCCTGACTTGTGCCTGGCAGATGGCAGACAGGCTTTGAGGAGTCGGGATGTGAGTTACTCGCCGCAGTATTCCGAGCTTCTGGCCTGCTCTTGTAGCCACTGTGTTAATGTGATGAGTCCAGTTGAGTTTCTGGTCAATGATAACTCCCAGGATGTTGATAGCTGGGGACTCAATGATGGTAACACCATTGAATATCAAGGGGCTGTGGTTAGATTGTCTCCTATTGGTGATGGTCATAGCCGGTATTTGTGTGACGTGAATGTTACTTGAACTTGTCAACCCAAACCTGGGTATTGTTCAGATCTTAGATAACAAGGTGTAGAGCTGGATGAACGCAGCAGGCCGAGCAGCATCATAGGAGCAGGAAGGCTGACGTTTCGGGCCTAGACCCTTCATCAGAACTTGTGGCATTTGTAGCTGGATTACTGCGTTATCTGAGGAGTTGTGAATGGTGCTGGACATTGTGCAATCATTGGCAAACATCCCCATTTCTGACCTTATCATGGAGGGAAGGTCATTGATGAAGCAGCTGAAGATGGTTGGACCTAGGACACTACCCTGAGGAACTCCTGCAGACATATCCTGGAGCTGAGATGATTGGCCTCCAACAACCCCAACTATCTTCCTATGTGTCAGGTATGACTCCAACCACTGGAGAGTTTGCCCCCAGACACCCAATGATTCCAGTTTTGCTAGGGCTCCTTGATGCCACATTTGGTCGAATACAGCCTTGATATCAAGGGCTGTCACTTTCACCTCACCTCTGGAATTCAGCTCTTTTGTCCATGTTTGAACCAAGGCTGCAATGAGGTCAGAAGCTGAGTGGCCCTGGTGGAACCCAAACTGGGTGTCACTGAGCAGGTGCTGCTTGATAGCACTGTTGATGACACCTTCCATCACTTTACTGATGATCAAGAGAAAACTGATGAGGCGGTAATTGGCTGGGTTGGATTTGTCCTGCTTTTTGTGTACAGGACATACTTGGGTAATTTTCCACATTGTCGGGTAGATACCAATGTTGTAACTGTGCTGGAACAACTTGGCTAGAGGAGAGGAAAGTTCTGGTGCACAAGTCTTCAGTACTATTGCTGGAATGTTGTCAGGGCTGGTAGCCTTTGCAGTATCCAGTGTCTCCAACTGTTTGTTGATATCATGTGGGGTGAATTGAATCGGCTGAAGACTGGTCTTTGTAATGCTGGGGACCACTGGAGGAGGCCAAGATGGATCATCCACTCAACACTTCCGGCTGACGATTGCTGCAAATGCTTCAGCCATATCTATTACACTCAAGTGCTGGGCTCTTCCATCATTTTGAGGATGAGGATATTTGTGGCGCCTCCTCCTCCAGTGAGTTGTTTAATTGTCCACTGCCATTCACGACTGGATGTGGCAGGACTGCAGAGCTTAGATCTGATCCATTGGTTGTGGGATCGTTCAGCTCTG